CTCGTCGTAGCCGCCACCGTCGTCGTCGTACACCCTGCGAAATGCTTAAGAATTCATGGGTTAAGAAATTCACAGTCTCAGAACTTGAAAAAAACCCAACATTTCCATTAAATTCTTAAGATTTATATTGAAACGTTAAGAATAATCGAGACTCTGGCCGAAAACTTAAGTTTTCTTGAGCATCGCCTAAGGTGTACCCGTCGTCCACTCGGACTCGATCTCACACCCAAGCACTTACAACCAGACGCTCAGAGCGGGACGTGCAAGGAAGTGGTCAATACGCTGGAGGTGTGGTGTTCGATCTGGCGATCGAGAGCCGAAGACCTCCCAGGGCCTCCGAAGATGTCTCGGACAGCTGCAGGCCGTGGTCGTCGTCTCGGATCGACGCTGATCGTCGTCGCCCATCGCCGTCGACCGTCGTCGCTGGAACCGTCGTCCGTCGTCCTCGGTTGTCGCCCCAGTGGCCGATCTCCGTCGAATGCCGATGGCCCCGTCGTCGCCGCTGTCGTCTTCGTCGTCGCCGCCGCCGCCGTCGTCGCCGCCGTCGTCGGCGATCGTCGTCGGCGCCGACTTCCTCGATTGTCGTCGTCGTGGTCGATCGCCGCCGCCGCATTGTCGTCGTCGCACGCCGCCGTCGTTGTCGTGCCCGGTGTCGTCGTCGCCGCACTCGTCCCCGTCGTGCCGCTTTCGTCCTCGACGTCACCGTCGCCTTCGTATTCGCAGCCGTCGTCGTCGTCGTCGTCGGAGTCGCCGTCGTCAGAGGCGCCACCGTCGTCGTTGCGATCGTCAGCGTCAGGGGGTGGACCTCGACAGAGGTCGCCGTCGTCAGAGGCAGGGCAGCGGCCACCAGGCGAGGAGCCGGAGGCGGAGGAGTAAGAGACAGGCTAGGTGCGCTCGCGTCATATCTGACGTCCTACAGGGGAGGCCCGACCACAAGACACTTCCACAAGAAACCTAATTCTGAGACCCCAGGACGTCCAGCGATTTCTGGTTCGGGAACGTCACGCTTTCCATGGCAAAAGCATCGAAACCCAAGAAACCCAGGGCACCCTGAAGGCAAGCATGGTGTTTCTTGGCATGGGCTTCCACTGTACCCCTCCCTCCCATCCCTTACCATGGCGTAGATCTCCTCTCTATTCGCACAGGCGGATGTCGAGCAGGGCAATGATCCCGAGAGGGCCCGCGATGCATCGTAGAGCACGGCGTAGCAGGGCGTAGGAGAGCAAGGCAGAGCGCAGTATGTCATAGCATGACGTGGCGTTGCGTAGTGCAAAATTGCAGCACAAAGCATTGCAACACACAGAATGGCATCGCACAGCGGCACAGAACAGAACATGGCATAGCACGGCGTTGAAGATCAAAGCGTAGCATGGCATAGCATGGCGTGGCACTGCGTTGTCAAGCACTGCATATCCTAGCATTGCAGCTGAATGTATGGCATCGCGCAGCGGAACACCACATAGCATTGCATTGCATGTCCTGGCATGGCACTGGAAATAATGACGCCAGCGCTGCAGCGGGAGCACGATTCGGAACGAGCGGAAGCGCGGAAATGAGGCCAGCGCTGCAGCGGGAGCACGATTCGGAACGAGCAGAAGAGCGGAAATGAGGCCAGCGCTGCAGCGGGAGCACGATTCGGAACGAGCAGAAGAGCGGAAATGAGGCCAGCGCTTCAGCGGGAGCACGATTCGGAACGAGCGGAAGCCCGAACATGAGGCCAGCGCTTCAGCGGGCACAACATTTTGGAAAAACCGAATCTAAAACCCAACTCCAGCGAATCCTGTGTAAAAAAACACTACGCACAGGGGGGCCGAACATCTTCCGGACGTCAGTGCAGTATTCATAGCGTGCAGTCGTAGAGGAGGGAGAAGAGGAGGAGGGAGAGGAGGAGGACCCCGAGAGCCCGGCGTCGCATTTTTCTCCTTAGTTAGCGATTTCGCTATATTTCTGGCCCTGGGACCGGCTCAAGAAATGCCGCACATACTCCAGATTTCGTAATAAAAGGGAGGGGGTCTGGACCCTCCAAGACGAGCCATTTCAGACCTCCCCCGTGGGAGAACCCTCCAAAACATCGCCCCCAGACCCCCCCAGGCCCTCCAAGATAGCCTGGAAGAGACCCCCCCCCTGAAATGAGACCCCCCTCCCTTTTATTACGAAATCTGGAGTAGATGCGGTCCAGGGCTCCCGGGCGGGGACGGTCCGCGGTGCCGCATGTTGCCGCGACGTGGGGCCTCCGGGAGCGGAGACGGGGAGCTGGAGGAGGGAGTGCCGGGGGAAGGGGCGGGAGCCGAAGAGGGCAGGAGCTTCACGGATTCCCATGGGAAGAAGTCAAGATTATGCGGGTGCATGAATTACGATGGTTTGTGATGTTGAAGTCCCAAAAATTGCGTCCTGGCACGAATCCAGATCGTCAGAACGCAGCAGTCAGGTTGATCCGTGGCGTGGGCATCCCGAGGACAATGTTTTGGCATGCTTCAAGGTCGTCAAACGGTTGTCTTCTCACAAGGCAGTTCCATCAATGGAAATGAACCGTTGTAGGGGCCGAACATGTTCCGGACGTCAGTGTCGTATTCATATTGTGCAGCTGCAGAGGAGGGGGAAGAGGAGGAGGGAGAGGAGGAGGAGGACCCTGAGATCCCTGGAGGGAGACGAGGAGGAGCGCCGAGGGAAGGGCAGGAAGCTGGAGCTGGAGGGCGGGGAGAAGGGAGCGGCGACGACGACGAGGACGAGAGCGGGGGCAGGGGAGCTGCAACAGGAGGCCGCGCCAGGGGAGAGAGGCGCCCCGCCTCTCGGGGGATGGGGGCAGGGCGGTGCTCGAAGAGGTCGGCTTCGGGAGGAGGCCCCAAAGAGGCTCGACGAGGAGGAGGAGGAGGAGGAGGAGGAGGAGGAGGACGACGACGACGAAGAGTCCTCGCTCCTCCTCGTCGCCCTCGTCATCCTTCCTCCGCCCTCCTCCTCCTCCCCTCCTGGGAGTTTGTTGCCCAACCCGCAAGGGCAAGCTCCCACGAGAGAGCCCCAAGAGGCCCCCCAGAGGCACCCAAGACGCCCCAAGAGGCCGCGGCGAGAATGCCCAAATCACTGACTTTTACGAAAGGTTTGGCCACAGTTTGGCCTCCTGGGGAGGGGGGGTCCGTCGGAGGGCGCCCTCTGAACGCCTACGCCGACCCTGGCCAGGTCGATCCTGGGCCCAGGACCGGCGCATACAGTCAAAATCTCTAGTGGGGACGCGCTGCAAGGACGCAGGGCCCTTGGACGGTCCCTGGACGGACGCCCCAGTTGAAGCTTCTCTAGCGGCGCACTGCCGAGCAAATCTAAGGACGCAAGGGCTGATGAGGGGCCCGTCGGAGGGCGCCATCTGAACTTGGCGGCGCGCAGAGGGGGGTAGGGAGAGGGGGGAAGGCTTCTTAGGAGGAGGCTGCTTCTGAGAAGGCGCCAGCCTTACATCTATGGAGGAGGCCTGCGCCTTCTGAAAAGCAGCCTCTTTCTAAGAGGCCTTCCCCCTCCCCCCTACCCGCCTCTGCGCGAGGGCGAGGGACGCCTTCACCGACCCTGCACAGGCCGATCCTGAGCCCAGCATCGGTGCACACGTCCCCTGTGCTTGCTCGGACGGGAAGGCATCGGTCCAAGAAGGACCCGGCGAGGATCGGTGTTCGTGCACAGATGGCGTTTTCCCATCCGTGGAGGCTTCCGGAGGTCACCGGAGGAGGCCTCCGAGCCCAAGGAGGCAACACTCGGTCGAAAACGCTCGACTCCCAGGAGGAGGAGGAGGAGGAGGAGGAGGAGGAGGACCCAGACCTCCGATGTCATGCTTCTACATATGATCGCTCTCGTCCCTAAGCTGACGTTCCGTTCCAATAGGCCCGACCGCTTTCCTCAGCCAATTCTTCATCCTGGGCTCAATTTGGACAAACCTGGGTCTCCGAAAACGGCCCAGGGATGCCGAACACGGCTAGCAAAAACACGCTATTTTCCTGGACGTTGGATGACGGAGGCGGAAGACGACGATGAAGAGATCGGGGGAGGCAATGGATGGATAACCCATTAAGCGCATTCGCATGGTCGAATACATGGATAATCGGATCCCCCAGACGAGGAGGAAAAGGAGGATAAGGCACATATCCGATGCACGCATCTATAGATATGGGAGATCCTGCATAATACGGGTGCCGACCCTTTCCTTGGGGCTCATCGCGAGTCGTTTGCTGACGCTCCTGGGGCCCGGTGGGGCCCTTTCGGCGGCGAAAGACGGCTGAACACCCCCGTCCTTGTTTTGAGTGCGTTGGCGGCCTCGGGAGGCGGGGGGGGGGAGGTGCCCGACCCCTCCTCTGGCCGTGGGCCCCTGTTTTCATGGCGCACTTCCCCTCTTCACCAACAGTCTGCCCCTCGGACAAGAGGAGGAGGAGGAGGATGAGGAGGAGGAGGAGGAGGACGAGGAGGAGGAGGAGGAAGAGGAGGAGGAAGAGGAGGAGGAGGAGGAGGAGGAGGAGGAGGAGGAGGAAGAGGAGGAGGAGGAGGAGGAAACAGTCTGCCCCCCGGACCTCCCGAAGGGCGCGTTCTGGCAGGACTTGCCCAAGGAATCGGGGGCCGCGGCGACGGGGGGCCTCCCGGAGGCCCGAACCGTGCGAGCAGCTGGAAGAAACACCCAAACGTCGAGCCTCGAACCTCGCGCCCCGCCTCGCTCGCGCAGCAGCCCCGACTGTTCCCGCGGCAGTGGTCCTAGCACATACCAAAAAACACCCAAACGTCGAGCCTCGAACCTCGCGCCTCGACTCGCTCGTGCAGCAGCCCCGATTCCTCCCGCGGCAGTGGTCCTAGCACATACCACAAACACCCAAACCTCGAGCCTCGAACCTCGAGCCTCGAGCCTCGACTCGCTCGCGCAGAAGCCCCGATTCCTCCCGCGGCAGTGGTCCTAGCACATACAAGAAAACACCCCAACGTCGAGCCTCGAAGCTCGAGCCTCGACGCGTTCGTGCACAGGCACCGCTTTCTTCCTTGGCCTTGGTCCTCGCGCGCGGAAGGATCCTCGCTCGACGGCATGCTGTGCATCGCCAGGGCGGCCACGGAGTGCATCTGCCGGGCGCTTGGGGGAGGGAGGAAGAGGGAGGAGGGAGGAGGGGGGAGGAGGAGGGAAGGTGAGAGAGGGGGGGAAGGAGGGAGGGCAGGAGGAAGGGAGGAGGAGGGAGGAAAGGGGAGGGAGGAGGAGGAGAGAGGAGGGACATGGAGGACAAAAACACAGACATCCGAATGATGGGGGTCAACGTCAGAGCACCTACTCGGGTGATCTACGCGCTATTGCCCAAATCCTCTGCGCTTGGTTGTGCTACGGCCCTGCTTCTTCACTATGGCCGGCAGGGGGCATGCCCCGAAGCTCATGGACCGAGCTCCGAGGTGGCCCCGTAAGAGAGGCTCGCAAGCTTACATCGCGAGTCCCATCGGGTCAGCGCGGGGGGAGCAGCTGCTGGCCCGTGCGCGTGCCCAAAGGGAGGAGGACGCGCGGGCGTAGCACGGCGCCCGAACCGAGGGGGGGGGGAGACGACGACACGACCTCAAAAGGAGGAGAGAGGGGAGAGACGGAAGACCCCAAACTGTTGCTGGGGGGGCTCCTGCTATTTCTAAAGGGAGAATTCCGTGCTTCCCTCTTCTTTCCACTCGACTCAGCTCACTTCTCGGTCGTTCCGAGCAATGCTCCATGTGGCGTCTCTGTACTCTATTATGTGAGGTAGCCCGTTTCCCCCTCGGAGAGCGCGAGGTAGAAAATACTGGAAGCCACGGTCATAGGCAGGGCCAACGAGGAGCACCCAGGTGGGCCTCATGATGATCACTGTTTTCTCCTCCCACCCTGCAGATGTGTACACGAAGGTGCTCAAAAAAATACTTCCCATGGCGAGGGCAGTGCAGGCGTACTGTTGTGCCCGCGTAGTCTGCCATGAGTAGCACTCCGAGAAACCTCGCGCATGCCCCCCTTGGCTGCCTGTCGGCACGGCCAGCTTACAACTTGCCCAGTTCAGCACTCCGAGAAGCCTCGCGAATGCTTTCTCTTGGCAATCTGCAGGCTCCAGTGGGTGCACTCGCTGGTGGCCGCTTGAGCTGTCCATGTATCTACCCGCGCTTCGCGCTTGCAGGTTCGACCTCATATGGCGTCCGGCACATGTAACCACGGGCGCGCTAATCGCTGTGCAAAGTAGCGGCCTTCCATGCGCATATACTTCGGCATCGCAGCATTTGGAAATTCCATGCGAGGGCGCCCTGGAGCGAGAGCGTTTACCGGCGTTCCTGGCGCGCAAGCCTGAACGCATGCCAACCGCGTTTGGACATGCTTCCACGGCGAGACCCTCCATTTCAAACAGAATGGAAGCAGCGGAGGACACCTCTGCCCATTGGCGCCCACGCTTGGAGAAGACAAGGCGCAGGAGGATAGCCCAGGTTAGTTTAGGGCAGGGGTGGGGGGCTGCCCCCAGGGCCCCGACTCTTAGCCCTCGCGACGCGGCCTCTCGCAGGCCTGGGGCGCCTGCGCTGCAGCGCCGAGATCCCCCATCAAACCCCTCCGCGCCTCAAGACGGCCAGCGCGCGGAGGACGAAACAAAAAACCAAAGGAAAAAAGAAGCGCCACAGGGCAACGCGAACATTTAGTGGCACGGTTGCGGCCCCGGGCCGGCCGCGTTGCAGGGGGTCCCATGGGTCGGCCTTGCAACAGGCGGCGGCCAGCGTGCGCCGTCATCTCACGGCTGCGCTTCTCGCGATCGTCACCCTAGCGCGTGGCCACAAAGCGATCACCTTCAGGATGACATGTAATCTTACCGCCAGGGGCGATTGCACGCGCCTCGGCTGGCTCATGGGCGCCACCACCTCCACCACCTCCACGGCCTCCTCCTCCCCCTTCCGCCTGGCACTTCGCCACCTCCTCCGCCGCCTCCGCCTGTCCCTCCACTGCCTCCGCCTGCCCCTCCAACAGGGCCAGGGCTAGGACTGGGGCCGCCAGGATCTTCGGGCCCTTCTTGGTTAGGATCGGGGTCGCCGTCGCTCGAAGAAGCATCCACATTGGTGCTGCCACCGTCGCCACGCGCGCGGCTTCCTCCGCAGCCACCCTCCGATCCGTCCTCGCACTCACCAGACCGCCAGAACATATCTACATCTGATTCGGGAAGATGCTCGAAACTGCCGTGGGGGGGCTGCCGCCGTGGCCGCAGCCTCCACGGCCGCTGCTACTTTCGGGTTCACCTCCGCCCTCCTCGTCACCGCCGTCACCGTGGTCATCTCCGCCGTTATTGCCGTCGTCGTCAGCCCGTCCCGCGCCGTCTTGTGCTTTTCCTGTTCGATGGCGCCGCCGACGGAGGAAGGCGCCGGGCTTTGACAAGTCGCCTGGTCCACTCCAGCACCGAATAGCGCCATGGACGCCATCTCGTCGGGCCATCTGCTTAGCGGGGGGAATGGCGCCGAGGCTGGCTGGCCCGTCGACGAATTCGTAGAAATCATCGCTCCACAAAGTGCCCTCGCCAAACTCGCGAAGCAGATCCTTGAAGTAGAAATGCCTCCTCTCCCACTTCGCCCGCGCGGTGATGCGGGCCACCTCGCGTCATCCGCGTCAGCTGGCGTCGGCGAGGCCGTCCACGGGCTCAGACATTGCCAGGCGATTCGCCTCCCGTGCTCGACGCGGATTGGACCCGGGCCTTCGCCGCCAGGACGCGGCGCCGCGTCGTCGGGCCCGCGCGGCAACTGCAACGGGCTCTCGCCAATGAGGACTCGACGGAACGACGCCGGTTGAAGGCGCTGTCGTTGGAAGCCAACAGGGAACATGAGTTTGACCGCGCCCTCCCACTGCGGGGCGCGCAAGGCCGCGGCGGCACCGGGCCCGCTGCGCGCGCGCGCCCCCGCCTCGAGGCATCACTGTCGGAGCGGGTGCTTTTTGGGCAGCCGCCCGCGCGCGGCGCGCCTCAGATGGCGGCGCCTGCGGCCCCAGTCTGTCAGAGCTGCAGCTTTCAACAGCTTGCAGCACCCATGCTTGCCTCTTGCAGATGATGCTGCGCGGGCCAGCGGGAAAGTGCCACTGCTGCTGTGGAACAAGTCTGCCAACGACTCAGAGCCCAGGGGCACGCCGAAAGGACTGGTTAGTGACCCCATCCAAAAGAAGAGCGTTCGACGCAGCAGACTTGAACGCGCCCCCAACGTCACGCTCGAACTTCTCTAGCTGGCTTCGGCACCCGGATGATCGAGCCACGTTGTTCAGGCGCTTGTCGTGCGCAGTGCTGGACAGCAGCGCCAGCAAATACGGCGCCCCCATCTCGTCGTTGACAAAGCGCCCCTGCAAGGCCGCGACTCCAAGTGCATCTGCTTAATGAGGGGCACCGGCGCCGAGAGCAAGATCGCAACGAACGACCTCCCTCCTGCGGGCAAGGTCGCCCGACGCTTCGGCGCTGCGCATCATCTTGTTGGCCCTCCAGGCGCCCGTGCCGAAAGGATTCGGGTTCCCGAGCCTCGCTGAAATCGTCGCTTCGGCACCTCTCTCCCCGTGGCGCGCGCGATTCTGGACTCAGCCCCCTGTGCTCGCGGCGCAGCGCGTTGAGATCCACGCGGCCTCTCTGCTCGCTGAAGCACGCGCGGCAACCGCCGGTACTTCTCTTGCGAGCGGCATCGTCCTCGCCGAGCTCCTGGTCGGGATGCGCGCGCGGGTCGGCGCTGGCCTTCACGTCGGCGTCGCGGGCGAACATGGAATGAACGATAGTGCGCCGCCGTCTTGCATTGCGGATAACGTGTTAGCTGCTGGCAAACTCCACGTGGGCGGCAGGCGTCTGCTCGGTGCGAATGATGCATATCCTCGCCCAGGCGTGCAAATTCTTGCGCCTGGTGTTGTCAGTCTCGGCCTCGGCCGCGTGACATACTACGTCGGCCAGTCCCACATTGCGCTCGATGTCGCACCCGTGCTTCTCGAGAAACCAAATCGTCCAGGAAGCCAGCATATATCTCGACGTGGCCTTCAACTCTTTGCCCATGTAGGTGCGAACGCCTTTCAGGATGCTTTCGGCGGCTATTCAATATTCGCGCATAGGATGGCCTGATACGATAGAGAGTAGATCCCACGCTACAAGTTAGCCGCTCACCGCAATCACTTCGGACGCCGACAGGTTCGTCGCGCGCGCGATGGATCCAAGTGGGAGTGCTGGCCACTGATCCACGCCGGCGCTCGCCGGCAAGTGGGTCGTGCTCGTCAGAAATGCATCCTCGAGCTCGCCGTTCACCATCGGCTGAAGGTGGGGCGACGCGAGGATGATGCCAGCAGCGCCGGCACCGGGGCCAGAATGAGAGCCCACCCTGACGAACTGGGTCTCCTGAGCATCCGAACTCGTCTTATCCAGTACGCGGTGCATGTACGTTTTCTGGGGACCGATCAGTGCCGACAGCACGAATAGTTTCTGCGGGAACTCCATGTCTCCGCATGCTCTCCAGCCCTCTTTCAGGTGAAACGCAGCAGCCTTGCGATCGAACGCAGCGGCGTCGGCGCCAGCCATTGGTGGATGGGCCCGCGCGGCAGGCCAGCGCAACCACCAGTTTTGGTTTTCACCGTGCCAGGGGCCCCCTTAGCTGCCCCGTGTCCGGGCAAAAACTGGGAGGGGAGGGGTAAGTATGTTTCTAGAATTTGGCATTGGCCCCCCGCCTCGGGTGCCCCATCCCCTCCCCGCTCCGAACAAGAAAAGATATCTGGTGGCTGCGCTGGCGCCCGCCTATGCCCGCCCGCACCTTCGCTGGCGCTTTTGCAGAGCCAGCTGGAGCAGCATCCGCCGCGTGATGATGGCGCCCACAAGTATCCAAGACAGCACCGGGGTCGTCCGCACGAGGGGGGGCTGCGGGCAGAACGCGTGCCTCAGCGTATGCTGCGGATGTTTTCTGCCATAACCCATGCGCGCGCATCAAGACACCCATCGCCCTCATCGATTCTCTGGCTCGTGTCCACCGAGACCGTGGAAAAAAAAGGCAAGGACGCCGAGCTGCATAACTGCGGTAGTGTACACCTCGAACACACCTTCTTTCCGCCAGTCGCCACCACGCGCGCCTTCTGAAGAGCACAGTTTGTGGTCGATACAGGCAGGAACACGTCGATCACAGCTGGGCGATGCACGTGCGCGTCTAGAGGCGCCACTCCGTACTTCAGCGTGACATATTCCAAAGTGATGCGGCGCAGTCTCATTTTGAAGTCACTTTTGCTCCCAGGAACCTCGCACACTTTGGCCAAATGGTATTGTGAAACCAGCACATCGCCGAACATGGCCCCAACGCCGTTTTCCTGGACGCCCTGGATCATATGCAGCCGGCACTTTCTGTGAGAGCCCTGCGTGACGGGGCCGAGTGTTCGCTCCGTTCTTGCGATGGCCCCATCGCTGTCGGACATGCACGTGTGGTCGTACCGTTCAAACAAAGGATTCAACTCGTCGAGGCCGTGGGCGTTGAGATTCGCAAGCGCGGCATCGACCTCTCCACTTGTCCTGTCTACACTATTCGGTGTCGTTGGCACCACAGCTGGGACATGAACGAACCGACGGCCACCGCGCTCATCCGCGGTTCCAGTAGAAGCGGGCATTTGAAACCCTGCACCAAATTTCATAACATAAATAACCATCTTCCCTTTTGGCTCAACATCGACCTCGATAACTGTTTCCATGACGTCTTTGTGGATCGGCTCTCCATTCTCAACTGCAGCTCCAATAAGAGGATCATCGATTGCCGTCACATGCGTCACCCTGTGGTACATCGTGGTTCCGTCCATGGACGTGTGCACCGAGAGGCGCAATAACTTGCCACCAGGGGCCGTGGCTGAGGCCATGGTTCACACGGCTGCCGAGCTATATTATACACACAAGCCGCACGAAACAACACGCGATTCATCACAAGATCATCCGCGAGATGAGTCAATAGTCTCGATGCCTTGCCACACATGTGCTTGTCAATGAGACGGCTGTACTCTTCATTGATGGCGCCCACAGCGCCATCCAGACCAGACGTGAAAGCAGAACCCATTCTCTCAAGGCCATATCCGGGCTCCACGTTCGGATCCATGATGCTTTGTAACGCCTCTTGCACAACAGTGTCCAACTCAGACGGGGGCGGCACTTTGACGGCCACGTCGTGCTGCACAGGAGGAGGGGCTACCAATGCACCTTCGTCAACGGCGACAGCCAAGTCGTGTTGCGCAGGAGGGGCTACCAATGCCAATACGCCGTCATCAACGGCGATGGCTGCAACATCCGAGCCCCTCCAATACAGCTTCTAGCGCAGCGTCCAAACTGCTCGCTGCGGCCCCTCCAAGTACAGCATCTGAGATACCAGCATCTAGACTGCAACCGTTCGGAGCTGAACCGAGAAGGGCGTCACAGATCAGCTCGTCAAGTGATGACGACATCAAAAACAATCCATGGTGCCAGAGGCCACTGCTCCTTGAGAGCTTGGCCAAAACGGCTGCGGAGGAGGAGGAGGAGGAGGAGGAGAAGAAGGAGCTGTATGACAAATTCTGGGAGGTGGTATGGAGGAGGGAACACTGTGAGATTGAGGAGGAAAGGAGACGACGAGGGGGCGCAAGCAGGCCCCCGCCGATTCTTCAGTCGCAGACGCTCTCAGATCCCAACCACCATTGTCAGAATCCGCATGGCATGCCGCCATTCCCCAGTGGGCCCCTGCCAAGCTGTGACGGAGCGCTTCCCAAGGGACAGATGTGAACCACGGGTCTCATGGGGGTCAAAGGGCCTGCGGAGAACAAGGGCCTTACGAGGACCACGGGGCAGCTGTGGGCTCCCTGAGAACCCTCAACCATTGATTCTGGTAGTTCCATGGGGGGGGGGGGCTTCCAGGGCATCGCTCACCAAACGAGGCTGGCTAAGACGCAGCGGGTTTCGTGCCGCGATGCCCCCAAAAAGGCTTCGCCGAACCAACAGATGCGGAGGGCACGGCCATCACTGCATCGTTACAGGAGCCCCCCATCACCGCGGCAGAACGGCAGACCCCAATGCGAATACAATGGGGCCGACGCTGGGGCCCACTGAGCCAGGACGGGCCCCCTGTTTTAATACCTAACAACATAAAACCAACTCATACCTTCTATTCAACTTCTGCTCTTAACATCTCTTGCAAAACCAAAGGAACACCGATTGTCAAGCTGTTGAACTAGTTTTTTGCTGCTTTCTTCAAAACACCACTCTCCGGCACCCCGCGGGCACAAACCATGGCTCGAGGACCGAACATCTCGGATGTCTGGCATTTTCGTCATCACATGGGGGGCCCAGCTCAAGGGGGGAACCATGGAGCCAGAATCGGCGATACATCGCCGATGGATGATCGGCGATAGGCCCCCGATAGCGGAACGGCATTTTCCTGGGAAGGGTGGGCCATCGGCCCACTGTCGGCAGTGAACTGGCGATTGGGCGCCCGAAGCACTCCTCACTGGGCCAATCCCCCCCTAACGTTGCCCCTGAGCGCAGTGATGGGAAGGCCTGCAGCTCAGCACCTGTGAAGCAGGTCGCGAAGAAAGACGATCTCAAGAACAATCCGCGCTTGGCCATTATTACGAACGGGGGGGGAACGGACCAAGCGGGACGGGCACTCCCTGACATCCGACGGCGCCAGAGACCCATCAGCACCGCGGAACGACGTGGCCAGACACCCAGACCCCCTCCTTCTGCGCCATGCTTCGAGCCGCGATCGATCTGCGACAACGTATGCTCATGCCGTTCCCAGACCCCCGACGTCATCAATGTTTCACCACGTCGACCCCCAAAGGTCTTGACCCATTCCCTGGGACCGGCTATGCATCCTGAGTCGTTTGGTTGACGGTCCCAGGGCCCGGCGAGGGCCCCCACAGGCCGAACAGTGCGAAACATCTGCCGCCGTGCCATCTTTGCATGGCTCGAGGGGGTCTGGGCTTCTTCTTCTTCTTCTTCTTCTTCCTTCTTCTTCGAGGATTGGTCCTCGACCCCTCTGGCGGGCAAGGGTGGCGGCGCGCCCACGGCGCCGTGGCGGGGAACACGTTCCCGGCGCGGCCCCGGGAGACCTGTGCTCGCCGCCCAGGCGCTGCGGCGCGGCGATCGCGACGACGAGGCCCTCCTCCTCCTCCGCCTCCTCCTCCTCCTCCTCCGCCTCCGCCTCCTCCTCCTTTTCCTCCTCCTCCTCCTCCTCCTTTGCCTCCTTCTCCTCCTTCTCCTCTTCCTCCTCCTCCTCACGACCGGCGGCGACGGCTAGTAGGCTCAGGAGAGCGAGGACGACGACATCGAGGACGACGAGGGCGCCCTGGCGCAGGCGGCTACGACGAAGACGCCGAGGACGACGAGGACGAGACGGGCCGACGGGCAAGACTGAGGTACAACTGACGTCGACGCCGGGGACGACAGGCAACCCCAGACATGATCGTGTCGTTTTAAAAAACAGGATCCGACTGCATTTTTTCGCTATTTTCGGCCCGGGGGGCCCTCGCCTGTCCTCGGGACCGTCAAAAAAACTACTCATGACGAAAAACTGGTCCCGGGGAAAGAATCAGGACTGCCAAGGACGCCGTTCCGAACACAAATCCGGACGTCGCATGTCTGGGAGTAGGCTTAGGTACGGCATGTCCTCCTACAGGCGGATGTTGGACGAACAATTAAACAATTGTTAGGAATATACCCCTAAAGTGATCAAACATGGTAGAAATATCGTTCCAGACTAGTTCTTAAAATTCGTATTGGATGTTCCCCCTGTAGAAGGACATGCCCGACTTAAGAGTAGGTTCGAGGATCGAGGGCCAAGGCTCCTGGACGCGACTCGCCCTACGCCTCTCTGCATGCGAGAAGCTCCCGGGGACCCTGGGGCGACTCAGCCCCCCGAGCGTGCTGAGCAAGTCAAGGAAGAGATGTTGAACAATTTCTGGCCCCCCGGGGCTGCACGGTTTGCTCCGGGGCCGTAGGCGACCCGAGGAGGAGGATGGGGGAGGAGGAGGAGGAGGAGGAGGAGGAGGAGGAGGAGGAGGAGGAGGAGGTGGAGGGAGGAGAAGGAGGAGGTGGAGGGAGGAGGAGGAGGAGGAGGAGGAGGAGGAGGAGGAGGAGGAGGACGAGGAGGATGTTATTGAAGGCGGCGTCCACGTCTTTGGAGGCCAAGCTGCGCAGGGCTGGCTGGTCGGCCTCCACGTGTGCTGCTACTCCCACGCTTGGCAATCCTTCTGGGGGCGTGGTGACGGCTGCCGTGAAGAGGATCGGCCTGGCCCTTCTTGCCCATTTTGACGTGGAAATTGTTCCTGCTCGTGCGGCTATGCATCATGTCGGTGGCATGGTCAAGGGCGGCTTCCTCGTCGTCAATTTGCACCTGGTTCGTTCTGTCGGCATCAACGAGCAGAACTGGGCTATCTTGTCCAGAGTGGGTGCGAGGCTGAAGACCGCTGGGCTGCCCTTCATCGTCGGTGGCGACTGGAACTTCACGGCTGAAGATTTGCAGAAGACGTCCCGGGTCGACGCCATGGATGCTGTGGTGATCGCACTCGAGCATGGCACGTGCAGGCCAGCCCTGAGGTGCATCGACTTTTTTCGTGGTTTCGCGCCACATTGCAGGTCAGGCCAGGGCCGAAGGACTGCACAACGTTCCTATCTCCCCTCACCTTCCTGTCAGGCTTGTCGTCCCGTCGGTCGAGCCGCTCTGTAAAGTGAGGCATGTGCAGGTTCCTAAGAAGTTCCCCACGCAGCTCCCCATCGGCTGCCTTGGGCCCTCCCCTCAAGTCGATCCGTGGGAGCAGGTTGGGCAAGTGTGTTGCGACCCCGACGTCCTGGTCCAGGAAAAGTGGGATGCCTTTCTGAGGCCGCTGAGGCCCATTGGCTCTGTCTTTCAGATTTCTGGGGCCTGTGTGCTGGCTATGTGGGCAAGGATAGACCTCTTGGAAAACCCCCTCCACGCCTGCCCCGCCGAGGTTTCCGAAGCTTTCTCCCCTCGCCTGTTGGCGGCGCAAGGTGATCAATTTGCTGGCCGACATCAGCCGTGTGCCGACAGGCCCGCTCAGGTCACAGCTAGTTGCTGCCGCTGGCCGTCTTTCTCGTTCCATCGTTTGCCTGACACGGCCGAATACGCCGCGTGGTCGGCGATGCCGAGGCACGTTCCCTTTCTTTCCTCGTCGAGTGCCGCCTGCCTGGCCGAGATGGCCGACAGCGAGGCCGAGAGGATGCACGTGGTCTGTGCTCAGGCCAAGGAGAAGGAATGGAACAAATTCGGGGCCTCTCACACGGTTGGGGGTATGTCAGCCTTGTGCAAGTTTTCGAGCATCCCCGTCCCGTGGCAGCCCGAAGTTGTTCACCAAGGGACCCTCAGGCCGTGCGCCTCGCTTGAATCGATCGAAATGAATGGGCCCCAGGACACACAAATAAATACACACAAATAAAAAGATTCCCCACATTTTCCTATATTTTCTGGGTTTCTGCCTTCCCCCCCACTTCCAATATTTTCCAATCTTTTCTGGGGAATCGACGATTGATTGTGTCTGTGTGTTTTGTCCCCTCCTGACGAAACGCTTGAGGCTGACTGGAAAACGTGGTGGCAGGCTGGAGTGCAGCCCCCCCCCTCTCCAGTGGCCTGAGCTTGGACCTCCCCCCCCCGCGGCCCGCCGTGGCCGAGCCGGTGAGAGCTACCAGGAGTTCCGAGGCGACCACCGGCACGGGGTTTGATCGGATCCAGCCCCGCTCGCGTTCAGTGCTGCCGCCGCCTGCCCCGGAGGCGCCGTGTGACAGCATCCACCACGTGGAGCACAAGCGTGACTGGCCTGCCATGTGGAAACGGACCGTGTTCATCCTGGAAAGAGCTGGGGGGGGGGGTCAGGCCCCTGGGCCTCTTGCATCTTGTGGCTCGTGTGCAGTGTCGCTTGAGACGTCCTCTGGTTCGAGCCTGGCAGCAGGCCAATTATCGCTCCTTTTTTCTGGCCCACCCATGGGAAGTCTTCCGAAACATATGTCTGGATTCAGGCGGCTTGGTCGGAGCATTCCACGTACAAGGCTAGGTCGTGTGCGACCCTTCTGTTAGATCTTAAGAAGGCTTTTGAGTTGATTCAGCACCATCACTTGATCGACGCTGCGGCGGCGACCGCGTTCCCCTTGTGGCAATTGTACCTGCTGGTTCAGATTTGTCGGGCTCCCAGGGTCCTGGATGCTGGGGGTGAGGTTGGCAACCTTTCGCAGGTTGAGCAAACGATCGTTGCAGGGTGTACATGTGCCACGTGTATGTTACAACTTGTTATGTTAAGACCTTTGGATGCTGTGCAGGCCGCGCGGCCCGCAGTTCAGTTGTCGGTCAATGTTGACGACTTCGGCCTCATGCGCTGGGGCGCGGAGTCGCGAGTCGTCGACGACATCTCAGCGGCAGGCAAGCTGCTTGCCCAGTGCCTGAGCAGGATCGACCTGCGCATCGCGCTGGACAAGTCCAGAGTTCTTGGGAATACGGCGGTGGTGAGGAACGCTATCACTCGTAAGCTGAAGAGCCTCCAGCCCCTTCCCGTTCGGTCCGAGCGCAACCTCGGTGTGGACTTCGGTGTGGACTCCGGTGCGGGGTTGGTGGCCAGCCGTGGCACCGTGCGTGGGCGCGTTTCTGGCATGCGGCCCAGGTGGTTGGTTCGGATGGGCTTCCTGAAATGCTATAAGCCCCGCCGCCGTGTGCTCGGGCGTATGACTCGAGCGTCGTTGGAGGCCTCGGCGTTGCTTGGGGCATCGGCCATGGGCACGAGTGGGAAGGAGCTGGAGGCCCTTCGAGGCGCGGCCGGGAAGCTGCAAGACCATCACCAGGATGGCAAATCTCGCACCTTGGCGCTGCTCCTGTCTCCTGTGCCCCGTCGGGGCCCCATCTTCAGGGCCACGCGGCTTCCCGTCAAGGCCTTCCTTCATGCCCTGTGGCACTCCTGGTTTCCCAGGGATGCGTTAGACTTCGGGATCCGTCAGACCCGTGGGGACCTGTCTGGGCTGGAGCACCCCTGGCCCTCTATCGGGGGCCCCTTCGGAGCTCCCTGGGCCTCGTTACAGCGGATTGGCATCACGGCTACCTCGGCTACCTCTTGGATTTGGCCTGATGGGGCCAACATCACCCCCACTAACTACTGCCCTGTCACTGTCCAGGAGCTCGTGTTTCGTGCGGTGGAGCGCTGGCAGTTTGCTAGAGTTGCAGACCACCTTGACCAGCGTGAGTTCGACAATGGTTTGATCCTGAGCCCCCTAAAGGCCCTGCTCGGCAGCAAGAGTAAGCTCACGGCCCAGCAGAGGGGCCACCCGCGTAGCACCATCGTGGGAGGCCAGTGGCCTCAGAAGCGCCCGTGGGCCGAAGGTTACGACACCACGGCTGCGTGCCTGCTGTGCCCCACCGCCGAGGGCACGCTTTTGCATAGACACTGCTCGCGCGTGCGCCCCGACAGCCTTGAAGGGGCCCCTGCCTTCGGATCCGATGCGGCTGAGGCAGCTGTGAAGTCCTCGCTTGCCCTCATTTTTGCGGAGCGCTGTTTAGTGCCGTTTCCTGTTCTCGAGAGGCCGCCGCCTGGGCAGCCCGTCTGTTGGGGGATTGGAGGCCCTGCCTGCTTCACTGGCGATGTGTATCCTGACGGTTCGGAGTTTGAAGCAGAGCATCCGAGTCTAGCGAGTGCTGGCTGGGGGTGCGTGGCGCTTCGTCCTGATCGGAACCAGGTGGTCGCTTTCTGTTCAGGACCTGTGCTTGATCCGCTGCAGTGCATTTCTGCAGCCGAGATCATTGCTGTCATTCACGTTCTGCAGCCGGTCATTGCTGGCATTCACGCTCTGGAGGGAGTTCTGGCGGCTGGTGGATGACTGCGGGGATGGGTTCGAGATCTTCAAGGTTAAAGGCCATGCGACCGTGGATGACGTGCTCCTTGGATGCACCACGGCCAGGCATAGGCATGGCAATGCGAAGGCGGACCGTGCTGCGAAGAGCGCTGCTGCGTGCCACCGCGTTGCGTCTAGCGCACGGGGGCAGCTGCAGGCGCGAGCCAAAGTCGTTGAAGCTTGGGGCACTTGGATCGGGCGCCCCAGCGACGGCTTGGAGGATTGCGGTCATCCTAAGCGTCACATGCGAGGCAAGCCGCCAGTGCCACAGCTGATTCTGGTCAAGGACCCCTCTCCCAGCGACGTGGTTAGTCGTGCGTTAGCTGCGCAGGAGAAGCTGGGAGAAGGGTCCGGAGTGCATGCCCTTGCCAAGATCCAGCTACAGGGCGGTCCGCTCGTAGTTGGATGTCCGCGCTGTGCTGGCTTTGCCGCTGCTGGCGTCTCGAGCCCGTCGGCCCCGTGTCCCCCCCCGGCGACGGAGCGGGGGCGGAAGGTGCTCATAAGGCTGGCCAGCAAGCGGGAATGTAGGCTCGATGGTCAGGTCTATCGAGTTCTCTCTCTCGCGATCGATCGTTTGATCGCTTAGGGCGCAGTGCGCCCCCCTGCCACTTTTGCGGATGAAGGTCCTCGCCGTGGCTGTAGCAGCGGCTGCCGCGGGGGCCGTGCAGACCGATGGGGTGGGGGGGGCGCGTGCGGTCTCTGTCCGCTCACACGTGGCCTACGGTGGTTGTCAGGTGCGCCCTAGGCCAAGTGCGACTTCTGCAGGCTGACGAGCGATAGACTCTGCCGCTCGCCAGGCTGTGCCCAGGAGGAGGAGGAGGACGGGTCGCCTAAGCACTCTGGAGAAACCCTCCACCCGGGGCCGCTTGCGGGCTCGAAGGCCTTCAAAGAGCCTCTCAGAATGACACCTTTGCGGACCTTGCGCAGTTCGCGATTGGGTGGCACGTTGGGGGGCCACGATGGACCAGGGCTTTCGCGTAAAGCTTTATAATCCCAGACAGACATGCTGTTCAGGGAATGGCCGAATGGCACCTGGAGGAGGTCGACAGGCCCCGAGGGTGAAGACTCAACAATGCCACACCATCGATATCTTGATTTTGTTTCCGATGCTGGGCCCTTGGGAGCCCCGACCACTTCCCCAGGGCCCGTGTCTCATCCCAAGACGTTAGCTGACGGTCCCGCGGCCCGGCGAAGGACCCCCGAGGCCGAAAACGACCAAAAACCTCCCACGGCGATTGCCTCACGACGCGAGCACGTCTGGGACAGCGTCGAGCCGTCGGAGGGCGGGGAAATAAGAGAAAGACCCGTGCACCCGCACGGCGCGCGAGATGAGGCACGACTCCCTTGGGGGGGCTTTCTTCGGGCCCCCAGTGCCCTCGTCGCGGGTCGGTCCGGCCTGGCAGACCCCGCGCGCGGGTGGAGTCCAACCCAGACATCCCCGTGCAAGGTCTTACGTAAGTCAAGCGCACACACACACATTTATGATTGTGCAAGAACTGGTATAGATATACATAAGCAAGCCAGTGTTCAAACACAGAGCCAACGATTTGGGGGTTTCGGCCACCGCCTCTACGCCCCGGGGACCGTCAAAGAACGACTCTGGATGATGAGCCAGATCCTGGGAAGAGGTTCGGACTTTGTTGAGAAGCCACGTCTTTCCAGCAAAATCACGGCGCGAGGCGCCTGATAATAATCCCGCCTGTGCAATTTTACGGAGATGTGTGTATGTAGGAGAGAAGATCGGCATGGCTCAACCTGCATCTGTGCGTATCGCTCTTAAGTTAGGTCAAATCTTGTTTGCTCTAGTGGAAGGCCCCCAGAGCCTCGGAACTCGACGAGATAGTAGCTCGGCAAGCGCAGGGCGGGCATGCAAAGAAGTTAGCACGACTGCCACAAGAATTCCACGTCCCATCGCACTTCCCAAGATCGCACCGACGAATCCGCTCTCGCCGGGATGCTTTGATCCCACCGCCCCGCGATATCCTAACACCCACGCGGCGGCCCGTCAGGGTTTGTGGCATCGACGCAACAGTTCCCGAGCACCCAGTCAGGTCTGCAGTGGGGATGCCGTCGAAGCGAACAAACGTGGCGCCACCGAACAGGCCGCGGGGGAAACGGCTCTCGATCTGATTGGTGCAGACCTGCTCGTCCTCGTGGGAGCGGTCCTGGTCGCCCTTGCCCGTGTGTTCCCTTTTCCGGGGCGTCGGGGAGCCCCTGGCCGTCGTGGGAGCTGTCCTGGGCGCCCATGCCCTCCAGTTCCCCCGGCGGGGCGGCATGGGGCTTCTGGCCATCCGCGGTGTAGTGCCTGTCGCCCTGGCCTTTCAATTCCCCTTTCGGGGCGCCGTGGAATTTTGGTCCTCGTCGGAGCAGCCCTGGTCGCCCTTGACCTTCCGTTTCCTTCGCGGGGCGAAGCGGAGCAGCATGTCCTCGCTGGAGCAGTCCTTCTCGCCGCCCTTGCCCTCCTGTTCCACTTTCGGTGCGCTGTGGAGCAGCAGCTCCTCGGTGGAGTTGGCCAAGATGCTGTTGCCATTCAGTTCCCCCGTCGTGGCGTTGTGGAGCAGCTGGTCCTCTGGGGGGCAGCCCTGGCTGCCTTGCCCCTCAGTTCCAATTTCAAGGCGTTGTGCAGCAGCTGGTCCTCGGAGGATCTGCCCTGGCTGCACTTCCCGAGCGAGGCCTCCAGCGCCAGAAACTTTGCGTGGAGCGTGGCGTCGTAGGCCCGCAGTGTGTTCTCGAGCGCCGACAATGACCCCCGCAGGATATCATACTGTATTTGAACACCGTCAGGCTCCTTGATGCATACAAATGGCTCGAATGCGTGAACTCGCGCGCCTTGCTCTCCGAGGGCCGTGCATGTGGGTGCCCCATGAGATTGCTATGGATGCTACTTCCGTATCACAGGCAGCCGAGAATGGTCAAAGCGTTTGATTCCTGGTCGACGCAGTTTACCACGACTCAGGCGATATTGGCGGGCTGCTCACACTCCACGATTATGCTGACGCTACTGGCGTACCGTATCGCGAAACGGTTGCGTACCTTGGGCGTGGCGCCGAGGGCTCTCGCGGACGACCTGACGCTGCAGTGGACGGGCGCGGGCTCGACAATGATGTTTCAGCTTTTTCTTGCAGTCAAGGCTTTCATCGTGCAGGCGAGGCAGCTTGGCCTGATCTTGCAGATGGGTAAGTCTGGTCTAACGGCAGCCTGCCCGCAGGCCGCGCGCGCGGCGCGCAGGCCTGCGGCCGCCATCGGTTTGCCCAATAAGCTCGGCATCCGGAATCTTGGCCACGAGCTGCACGGCGCTGGTCACAGGCGCCACCAGACTCGAGCCAAGATGGGCAAAATGGAGAAACGAGTCGTTCGAGCGAAGGCGTTCCGAAGGGCCGTTGGCAACAAGGTGTCTGTCACTTGGCGTTCGGGCTTGTTAAGTTCGGCCAACCAGTGCGCCGCGGTGGGCGGGGCCCCTGGTAAAGACCTCAGGACGCTGCGTCGTGCCGATGGGGCGGGGGCTACGGAAGGCTCATGTGGGCCTACTGCGTACCTGATGACCCAGACAGACCCCTGGCATGACCCGACGTTTGGTGCCACTTTGTGCCCAGTCATTGCATGCGCTCAGACTATATGGGATGCTACATTATCTCTTGGCAGGCTGGGGCGGGCCTGGAGGGCCCTCGCTCTAAACATGCCGATTGGGCCCACGCGAGCGGCCCGATGGCGGTGGTCTGTGTCTCTCTTCGGCGCGTCGACTGGGATATGAGATCATCAGTGCTCCTAGTCGACGACTTAGGCGCATGTTTCACCCTGCTTTTGGTGCCCCCCCTGCTGACGTGCGTGAGAGGCCCAGGGCCAGCATCCAGGGGTGGCAGGCCAGGAGGCTCCTCGATCGCCAAGCGGATCTGCCTCGGCATGGGGCGGGGCGCGAGCCGCGAGGTGCTTTGTGGGAGGCGCCGCCGCGGCGGTCAAGCATGCCACCCACGCGGGGGCGTTGAGAGCTCGCTGGGCTGGTGGGATTTGGGCTCAAGCTCGAGAGGCTGAGCGTGCGTTGGTGCGTTCGAGTGTGCGAGCTGTGCAGCTTGGAGCCTGGGTCAGATTCCCACATGCTGTTTGAATGTCCACGCCTGCGTGCGAGTCTGGAAGATGAGGATCGCGGTAGCCTTCCTCCGGAGCTGGCCGCGATCCGAGAGCGCCTGCGGACGCGCGGTCCAACTGCCCTGGGACATGCCGAGGCCGAGCACGCAGGCATGTGTCCGGCGGTGCTTTTCGAGCCCATCAAGCCGTCTCCACCCGTCCCTGGCCCTCCTGCCCTGCCGTGGGGCGATTGGGGTTCGAGCTCGAGCTCCTGGGCAACGGCGGCTTTCGCGGATGGCTCCGGGCTCGTGTCGAACAGCCCCGCCCTCAGAGGGTGCGGGTGGTCGGTCGTGTGGCTGTCGGAGAAAAAAAAGGGGCCCCTCTCCGTGCGGCCTGTGGAGGCCTGCCTGGGATTGTGCGGCAGACTGTTGGGACCGCTGAGCGTTGGGCCGCTTCCAGGGCCAGCCAGCCCTGCCCCTCTCTTGAGCTCATCGTGTCGGATTTGGTGTCGCTGGTGACCGAAGAAACGGGCTGGTCGCCGTGCCTCGCGCGAGGCACGGCCAAGCATGCGCTTGTCTGGAGTAGGCTTTTCGCGCTGATCGAGAGACAGCAGGTGCCCCCGCCGTCGTTTGAGTGGGCGCCCTCGCACCTTGAGCTCGAAGATGCGTCCTTCGACCCGAGAGTGCCGTTCCTGTGGGTTCTCGGCAATGCGTGGGCCGACAATTTTGCAAAGGCTGGAGCCTCTGAGACTGCCATTTCGGAGGGTCCTGCGGAGGCCCACAACAGAGCGCTAAAAGAGGTGAAGCTGTTCTCGAAGTATGTGTCTTGGGCAGTTGCCCACAGAGTCGCATTAGCTAAGGCAGCTGAGTCAGATGTGCTTCCCCCGCGGCCCAAGAGGCCCACTACTGGTGTCCAGCCTGTCAGTGTCACGGGCCACGGCCTTTGTTGGGTACAGTCCAAAGGTGAGGTCCGATGCAGGTTTTGCAACATGGTAGCACGAACCTATGAGAACATGTTCAGCACGCGTGCGAAAACTTGCGCGCCGTCGAAGTACCAGCGTGCTCAGCTCAGTGCTTGCGATGCGGTGGCTTGGGAGGCGTCTTTTTTGTCGTCGATTGGCATGGTCGCGATACCAGACGGCTCCGACGTGGTGGTGCCGCCGTTGCCTGCCCCGCCTGTGGCTTCTTCGTCCGCCATGGACATCTTCCACGCCATGGGGCATGATTGTGTTCAGAACGGGCTGGGTTTTGCGTGCTAGCGCTTTGGAGCATAGCAGGTGGGGGCGGGCAACGCCAAGAACTTGAGTGCTGCCTGCAAAGGGGCGCCCAAGTCCAAGAGCTCCCTAGCGGGGGCGGCCATGCGCGTTCGGAGAGTTCTGGCTGGCCGCCACCCTGTTTCCAATGTGGCCCTCTAGGGCGGGGGGGCCTCCTTTTCTCTCGCTCCTGCCCGTGCCCCGCGTGGGTGCCACTGGTGATGCCGTATACCGCTGACTGGAATGCTTTCAGTGCACTCCCGTGGTCAGAGCTTGCTCTGAGGAGAATTTCACCTCGGCGAGCGGCGCTGTTGAAGTCTGCTCCTCGGTTGGCCCTCAGCCGAGCCTGCAACGGGCGCAAAAAAATGGCCCTCTGGGCCTCGTGAGAGGGGTGCTCTGGAGGGCGTCTGGGCCACACCGAGAAGCTCAGGGGCACCTTGGGCCAGGGGCACATCTAGCATGAAGTCGGGCGCGTGCCCCCTACAAGGGGATTTTTGACGAAAAATACACATGGGCAAAAATGATCAAACAATCGTCCCCAGACTATTGTCTGCCGATTCTTGAACGTTTCTCCTGTAGGGGGACAGGCCCGACTTAATTCTAGCAACACCCGAAACGTTGCCCCTCCGCCTTCAGGTCACAACTCTGATCTACGGCGGCCGCTCGGGACGATCGGGGCGCCCCCGGGAACGCCCTCGGCGTGGCGCAGCCGCTGGAGAGCTTCCCGACAAAAACCGTGCATCACCACCAACGAAGACGCCCGAGGGCAGGAGGAGGGAGGAGGTGGACCCGAGCCCCTTTTCTCCCAAGACGTCGCCCCTGAGAGCTATTCTCCTCCCCCTCCTTCCTGCAGGCGGGAACCTTTTGCATAGCGAGTCGCCGCGGCGGCGCCGGCGACACGCTGTGCCCTGCGAGCGGATTGCGTTTCGCTCCTCTCCCCGGGCGCGGAAAGGCTCAGGATGCGGACGCTGGGGAATCAGGAAATGTATGGCGCGTCGCGGTGGGCCAGGACCGGCGGAGCGACACGCTAAGCCAAAGTTCCTGACCGCAAGCTGCCCGCCGCCGCTGTTGCGTGCCGGGCGGAGAGACCACGTTGAAGCGCTCGCGCACCAAGTCGATCCACTACGGGGAGCGGCGCCGGGCGGAGCCGCGGACAGGTCGAAGGAGGGAGGATAATCAGGAGGACGACAACAAAGATATATGAGCGAACGAGCGAACGAACAGGTCTGTCATCGCCGCGAGGCGACCCTAATTACAAGGGCGGCAGGCACGTCAAACGCGCTGGCCTCCAGGAAGGCCTGGTTGCTGACTAGGTGTGGGACGTCGGAGAATAATGCGTATATGAACTAGCTCCACCCATGTTGAACGTACCCATCCTCAACTTGTTGCTATGCCTCGTAAGAGGGAAATTAGGAGGGGCACCGAACGCCAAGGATGCTGATCGCAGATCCCATCTCACGCGCACTGTCTGCCCTTCGAAATGTCCCAAGGGCCCGGTGGAGGAGAAGGGAAGAGCAGCGAGGGAGGAGCAGCGAGGGAGGGAGGGCAGGAGGGAGGCGGGAGGAGCCTCGTGAGGCGCGAGACGGCCGCGCACGCCCGTCGCTGGGCGCTGCGGGGGTGATGAGGCCCAGCTTGTCAGAGGGCGGCGCCCGCTGAACTGCCGCTCCCGCAGGCTCTACCAGGTTTCCTCCTTCCCCCCTCCTCGCCTCCCCACTCACCCTGTGATTTCTTCTCGTACTCTCTCTCTCTCTCTCTCCTGATGAAGCCTTTGCTTGGTACACTGGAGTGCCCCGAGTTTGTCTTCGATGTGTGCGTGGTCCTTCAGGACGTTTTTCCCGCTGCGGCGATTGCCACATGGAATGATGGCGAGATGGCCTCCGTCCGACGCAGCGACGCTCTTGCCGCAGCGCTCGCTGCATCAGTGGAAGCTTTGCTTCCGCTGCGCGTGCTGACGGTCGGGCATGTTGGCTTCGCGTGCCGAGGCGGCGGCCCCGTCGACACGCTGTCCCTTGCGAGCGGATGGCGCTTCGCGCCTCTCCGCGGGGCGGGGCGGCCAGGAAAGGCTCCGACCCTGGAGGCTTGGGGACTGGGTCGTGGGAGCGTGTCGCGCCGAAGCATTGTGGGTCAAAACCGGCGGAGCGACACACGAACCACAAATTGCGGACCGTAGCGCCCCATTGCCGCTTGACGCGCTGCCTTTCTATGCTGTTTGCCTACCGGCGTAAGGCCTACCCCCGAGTGGAGTCGCGCGCCCCAGCCTGCTCGCACCTCTCCTCCGACCCCCGCGGGGTGCGGGGCAAGGACGGCGGGAACGCCCTCGCCGACCCCGCCAACCACCGCCGAAGGCCCAAGAGAACCGGCCTATAGGCCGCGCGAGGTGACGCGAAACCGACACCCACTGGTGGTAGCCAGTGTGGCCGCCATCCATCTGTCACTAATCAGCGAGCGAAGAACGGTATAAAATAAACCTGCCCCTGGTATACCCCTACGGTGCCACCATAAGGGTATAAACTTTCCAGCCGCCCTGGGGCAGGTGTCCCCGACGGCGAAAAAGTTTATTTTATACCGTTCTTCGCCCGTTAAACCATGGCAGCAGAAATAGGACCGCCAGCGCCCAAGCCCGATTGCAACGGGGCGTTGCCCGCGCGGGGGCCGCTTGGAAGGCGCGCGGCACCGGCCTCGTCTCGGCGAGGGGCAGGCGAGCCCTCCCGCGCGCGCGGAAAGCGTCGCGCACAGGCCGAGACAGCGGCCGCGGGCGAGCCGCCCAGAGGAGGGAACCAACGCGAACACGGCCTCTCTGCTGCGCCACGCCCCGCTCTCGAGTCTGGTCCTCTCTCCTGCGCGCCGCCCCCGCGCGCCGCCCCCGCGCGCCGCCCCCCTGCGCGCCGTCACCGCGCTGGGCCGCGAGCCCCCGCGAGCCGTGTCCGGGGACGGGCGCCGCCGGAGGAGGCCCGGCAAAAAAGCGCCCCGCTGACGCCGGCGACGGAAAGGTTCGCTCCAGGACTTCGGGAGAGTATCGCCGCGCCCGCGCCCCTGGCGGAAATGCGCGCGCGCCCGCGCCGCCCCTCCCTCCTGGTCTCTGCGCGGCAGCCAAACCGCCGACGTCGCCCAGAGAACCGCCCACGCACCACGGAGGACAAAAGCGACGGGGGTCAGTGGCGCGTGGACCCACGCGGCACGCGAGGGGGGGCGAGGCAGCGCATTTTGCAAGGACCGCGCCCGCCTTGCGGTCGACGAATTGCCAGCCGCGACAACAGCTCGCCAAATATCGTCCGGGCTCCGCGCAAGCGGCGGGCACGGAGTGCCTCTGCGACCCGCGCAGTCGGTTGGGACTGGAGCTCGCCAGAACCGATCGCGCCCTGCGAGACGAAGCGCGACGCCCTGACAGTCGCCGGCGCGCCGCAAATAGGCAAGCGCATTCCGCTACTCACAAAGTCGCTACTCGCAAATGGCCTGGATCCGCCGTGGAGGATTTACGATATATTACATCGAGGCTAACGTGGCTTTTGGCGGAATTTTGCGAGTAGGCACCGCGGCGTTTCAACCTCGGGCTCAGCGCAAGGCGCGCATCCGCGACAACGCCCGGCTGACGCCGACGCGCGAGCCGCCCCCGTCAATACGGAGCTCCCGCGCGCGCCCTTTCAAGGGGCGAGCGCGCGAGGCGGCCTGCGCCCCCTCGCGGCGGGCCGGCGACATGGCGCTCGCACCGCCGAGGACCTCGCTGGCGCACCGCACGGGGCCAGTGGCTCGGGAAGGATCGCTCGCGCTCCGCGCGAGATGCTGTCCCAGGGCGCCGGAACGGGCGGGCGGTCCTCACGCCCGCCAGAGATGCACGCGCCGCGCGCGGCCAGGCACGCGCGGGCGCAAAGCCATGTCTTGGCGCCCGTGGAGATCCATGAATCACCCTAAACGGCCGCGCAGCTCTCCAAGAGCAGGAGGCCCCGAAACACGGTCCCGCCCCGATTCCACCGACACATCGCGAGCCAGAGATCCATCCCTCAGGCGCCCTGGGGCCCGAAGCCAAGGCGAGGACGTCAGCCGTCTTTTCTTCTCCTCTCTTCATAGTGCCGCAGCCTGAAAGTCCCTGGATATTGGATGCCGCGATCTGTTTGGACGCTGGGCCCTCGGCGATGTCGGGCGATGTCGGCTCCTGGCCTGGGCCGGGGACCGGGCTCCAGAAAGGGCAGGATTGTCCAAAGCTGGCCGTTCCGTTTTTCAAGACCGTTGGAGCTGGAAGGTCTTCTCGCGGACTCGACCCCGCGGGGTGGCCGCCCCTCTCTGCACGTCCAAGCAAACATGAAACATGACTTCCATGAGCGCAGGTTCCCTTGTTTCCTCGTTGTCCCACACACTTGTCGCATTGCAGATATTACTTCAGACTCTCTTCCCCACTTCCATGCCACACCACTGTGCCCCAAACGCCCAAATTCACACACACACATACACACACATACATATATATATATATATATATATATATATATATACATATATATACACATAAATACATACACGTATGTATATCTATATATATATAGAACTTCCAATACGTCTGGTTATTCACGCTCGTATTTCTGATCTTCATGGAACTCGCACGTTTGCCATACGACGCGCTTCCCCGCCCGGTGCACAATTTGCCTGCCTGGGGAGCCTTAATCCCTCCATGCCCGCCCAGCCGTGGACTCCGGGGGTTTCGATTAGGTTGCGCTCCAGGACCCAAAGTCTTTCCCGACTCGATTCGCTAGGGGTTCAATGCAGTGGAAACGTCATAAGAGGCCTCTACTGGGATCACCACGGGGGGTTTTGCTAAGTGGACAGGAGGGTTACAAGTGGATGCCAAGGTGGGTTACATCTGGCCCATCCTGGCTCACAAGCGCGCTACAACTGCCCCAAATAGCTGAGGGGGGCTAACGATCCGGGCGAAGTGGGCTCCGCCCACTTAGCGGAGTTATTTCCCCCCCGGTGAACTTGTAACCCACTTGTAAGCCAGGTTGGGCCAGATATAGCCCACCTTAGCATCCACTTGTAACCCCCCTATCCAGTAACCCACGCGGCGACCCTAGTAGGCCCGACGCCTACAGCAATGCGAACAAAAATCCACCGAACCAACACTTCACGAACCAAGGTTCCGCTGCTTTCGAGCTGCGACCACACTGCGCCTCCTCATGCCGATCGGCCCTTCGCTCATTGTAGTCCCACTGCAGATTGTTGAACATGGTCGGGATACCTTGGCGGTCAGAACGCTCACCCGAAGCAGGGCGCAGGTTTCGAATTACAGCCCCATGCCGGTTCCATTGTGTATAATCCGGTGCATTACAGGTTCTGACTCCCTCTGGCAGCGCCTGGCGATATGCCCGACATGCCGATAAAGCCTCCGAGTGACTATGGCATTGAGGTCGACGATACCCGATAAAAGTGTCTGATGGTGAAGCGCCTTGCGCTGTCGTCGTGAATAATACTCGTTTGTTTTCCCGCGCGATCGGGGAAGGCGGAGGTACTTGAGGAAACATGCATTATGGGCCTCACGGATGCGCTGCAGAGCTCTCTGTTTCACCGTCCACACTGCAATGCCCAAGTCCAGGTGCACACTGAGATGTGGAGGATGAGGTTGAGCCCGGTCTGTCTTGTAGATGATCGGTACGGCAGATGAGCTGTTGCTGTTGCCACGCGTGCTAAATACCTTTTGCATCGAACATCGCGCAGGAGGAACAGAAGTTATGGGTGGGACGTCAGATGCGGCGCGAGCGCATCCAGCTTGCCTCCTGGCCACTCCTCCTTCCCTCTCCTCCTCCTCCTCCTCCTCCTCCTCCTCCTCCTCCTCCTCCTCCTCCTCCTCCTCCTCTTCCTCCTCGTCCGACTCCTCCTCCTCCTCCGCCTCCTCCTCCTCCTTGGACCTTCTCCCCCTCCTCCTCCTGCTCGTCCTCCTCCTCCTCTCCTCCTCCTCCTCTCCTCCTCCTCCTCCTCTCCTCCTCCTCCTCTCCTCCTCCTCCCCCCCCTACCCCTTCCCTCCCCCCCCCCCCTTCCCTCCCTGCCCCCCTCCCTCCCCCTCCCCCGCGCGCGCTCCCGAGCGCGAGGAGGGGGAGGGGGGGGGGGCGTGTCGTGTCTTGGCGACTTCGGCGCTGGTTTCTGGCACCGCGTGGACCGCCCAGCCTTAAGCGATCACGGCTTTCCGGCAGCGCAATCGCAACGCCTCTCGATATTGGCCGACTCCAAGCCACTGGCGGCGTCTAGAGGTCGCCGCCGCAACGACCCGACACGAGCATACTACGGGAACCCAGAAGATACCAACAGTTACCGCTACTCCCAGGGCCTCTCCTGGGGTGGGTCCTGACCAGAAACTCGAGGATCCAGCCGTGGCGACGAGGGCCTCCCAGAGGCCCAACAGGCGAAAACGTGGGATGGGCAGCGGTATCAGTACCTTCCCAAACACTCGAAGTCGCTGTACCCTTCCCCCAGGGCCAATTCTTCCTCCAGGGTCATGCCTCGACGGTCCCAGGTGGCCGGCGAGGGCCCGCGGAGGTCGAAAACTGCCAGAGGCCCTCCGTCGCGATTGCTTCACGACGCGAGCACGTCTGGCTTTCCGGCAGCAGCTGGGGTCTCCAGCAGCACTTCGGGACGGTCGGGGCGCCCTGGGAACGCCATCGGCGAAGCGCAGCCGCTGGAGAGCACCCCGAGGACGGAAACCGCAGAGAGCCAACGAAGACACGAGAAAACGTCACACTGCGAACCCGAAAGCATCGAACCTCGAACCTCCCCCCTTGAGCCCGTCCGGCTGTGTACCTCTCCTGGGGTGTGTCCGAACCAGGACTTCGAGGCGGACCCAGCCGAGGCCACGAGGGCGCCCCAGGATGATCAAAAACGTGCAGAAAGCGAACGTCGATCCTCGAAACTCGATCGTCGATCCCCGCCCTGTCCTCGATTTTCCTCTGCTTGTAGACGACGGCCCCCCTCGCGAGGGCCGGGCCGACGAGGCCTCTCGGGACGACCCAGGGCCCCGGGGACCCCCAGAACGCCGTCGGCGAGGCGAAGCTGCTAAGACGCATCTGAAGGCAGATCTGCCCTCCAGGAGCTAACAAAAAAACGTAGGAAACCGCCGAACAGTTCCAAAACGAGGACGCAGACGTCCTCTCACTGAGAGAGGACTCCCCATTAGGGTCCGAGTAGATGGGGTGAGAAAACCGTGCCACATCGCCGATGCATCGACAATGCAACCGTGACGTCGGCGTGGAGAAAATTGGGCTCTACAGCGAGCCGCATCGCCGATGCGTCGGAGATGCGGCGCGATCCTCCGACGCCACCTACGGGGAGGGCGTCAGAAAAGGAACCATTGGAGAAGGAAGCCAGGGTCTGAAAGCTGGAGGGCTTGGCTAATGATCCCACCGAGATCCTCATCACACAAGGAAAGCTCCAAGTTCTGGTGCTTCCTGGGCACATCCCTTACCGAACGACCCCGACGGCACTCTGACACCATCTATAATCTATAGAGGCCTGGTAGGCTCCGAGTACACGTGGTCGGAAGATCGCGCCGCATCGCCAATGCATCGGCGATGCACCGTCGATGCATCGCCGACCTCGGCGACGCATCGGCGACGCTGGCGTGGAGAAAATCGGGCTCTGCATCGCGCCGCATCGCCGATGGATCGGGGATGCATCGTCGATGCATCGCCATCGTCGGCGACACATCGGCGACGCCGGCGTGGAGAAAATCGGGCTCCGCATCGAGCCGCATCGGCGATGCATCGGCGATGCGGCGCGATCCTCCGACCCCTCCTGCTCCGACCCCATCTGGGAGGACTAAAATCTAGGATTAGGTCGGGCATGTCCTCCTTCATGCGGACTTTGGGTGAAGGATAATAAGTAGGATGACAGACTGAAAACAGATCAACGAACAGTAGAAATCTACGAGTCCCCCGTTTTTGAATAACTATCTTTCATGCTTCCTCCTGTAGAGGGGCACGCCCGACTGATTTCTGGTAGGCCCTGGAATGCTGAGCGACGGCGACTTTGGACGCCCGAACTGGGTACGGAGGAGGAGGAGGAGGAGGAGGAGGAGGAGGAGGAGGAGGAGGAGGAGGAGGAGGAGGGAGGAGGAGGAGGAGGAGGAGGAGGAGGAGGAGGAGGAGCAGGAGAAGGCCGGCCCGAAGCGGCGCGGTCCTGCAGCATCGTCGGCTCGTGCAGGTCCGGCAGGCCGGCGCGGAGCAGCCGCAGCTCCTCGCGGCGGCGTCGCGCTTCGGGGGGGCCTCCTCCTCCTCCTCCTCCTCCTCTCCTCCTCCTCCTCCTCCTCCTCCTCCTCTCCTCCTCCTCCTCCTCCTCCTCCCCCTCCTCCTCCTCCTCCTCCTCCTCCTCCTCCTCCTCCTCCTCCGCCCCTTAGTAGGGGGCCGCGGGATCCTCGCTGGGCCGCTCCTCCGTGCACGCGATCCTCCTCCAGGACCTGCCGACGTCGTGGGCGAGCCACGGCGCACAGCGTGTGGCCGTGCTCGGCTCCCGGGAGGCCTTCGCCAGGGCTCCCCCGGGGCCGTCAGGAAACGCCCTCGGCATGAGAGGCCGTCCCGGGGAGGGGGTCGGGAATCCGGGGGGGCGCGGGACGAAAAAAAATGGCCGTCCCAGCCGGAGCGTCGCATGTCTTTCGCGCCGGGAGCGTTCCCCCGCAGCTGGGAATCGTCAAGGTTTTAATTTCTTAGTTGTCACGGTCAACTTGTTCTTCGTTGCGTTGATATGTTAAGCGCTGATATCACGTTAATATAGCATGATAAAAGCTAAAGTTAAAGTTAGTGTCAATGTTTAAGATGATCTTAAGTAGATGCACTGCGATGCGAGGCCATCCTGGGCGCTTCAACCCCACGCGGGACCAACCCCTCCAGACCCAGAGCCCCTCCCCAGAGAGGAAGAGTAGGTTGGAAGAGGAAGCGCGCTAGACTACTCACGCCCCAAAGGGCTGGTTGGATTAGGAGCGAAGCGGCTTGCAGTTGGTGCGCGCTTCCCCTGTGGCCCAGCGTAGCTACAGCTCACGCCGATAGCGGACCCAGCGTAGCTACGGCATACGCAAGTCGCGCCTCGAGTGGGGGATTGCCCCATATGCATCGAACGACGTTCGGCTAACGTTCATTAAGCCGTGACGCACGCAAAAAAAATCCTCATCTTCATAATCATTGCCCCCTCCTCCTCTTCCTCCTCCTCCTCTTCCTCCTGCTCTTCATCATCATCATCATCATCATCATCATCATCATCATCATCATCATCCCCATCCTATTCCTCCTCCAACCCCCACCCCCCGCCCCTCCCTCCTCCTCCCCCTCGCCCTCTTCCCCCATCCCGCCCCCCCTCCTTTTGTCCCCCCCCCCTCCTCTCCATTGTTGGCGTCGGGGGAGGGCGGGGGGGAAGGCCTGATCGAGGCCGGGGGAAGGCGTGTTTGCCGTGCGGGGCGGGGGGGTACTTTCGCTTGGAGGGTGAGGCGGGACAGGATGTGGACGAGAGGGGTCCCGTCGTCGGAGCTGGAGGCCCTCGTCTGGGCCCTTTCGCCTCGAGCCACTTCATTCAGGGGGGCGTAAGGCCCGGGTACGGGGGACTCGGAATTCCCCGACGAGGTCGTCAAAAAAAATGACGAGGCCGAGCCTGCATTTTGACGAGGCCTCCCGCTGCAGACATCCCACGAAACTCCTACTCGTCAAAATCCGAGTCGCGGTCGTCAAAAAACGATGGCGAACCCGAGTCCTGGCAAACCCGGGTCTTACGCTCCCCCGATTCATTCTCTGGACCATTTGTGCGCCTGTCTATGACGGGTGGCACCGAGGCTTCGCTCAAAGGCCCCAAGGGAACATCGTTCGCTGGTGGACCCGTGTACACAACGCTCTCCGCAGAAGGGGCCCACGTGAGGTAATTCTGCGTACACCTGTGTTCACATTCTGATGCCGGTTCCAACTTAAGAGTTGGCCAATGCCAGAACGGTGCCCTATGGCAACGAAGCGGCAGATCAGCTGGCTCAGCGAGGTGCTGAGGCCGCAGCTGCACCCATCCGTTCTCACATCAAAGCTCTGACCGGTGCCGATGCCAGGGCGACCCGGGTCCACTAGAGAATGGAGGCAGTGTTGGCCCAAACTTGTAGCGAACTCGATCGGTCAGGGGGGCACTTCGGGGGTTCGGTCGGCGCCGGCTCGGACCTTTCTCGCGTCCAGGAGCTCGAGACTCGTTCTGGCCACGCGCTCTCTCGTCTCGCTAATGGTCTCTGGACTTGTAAAGTGTGCCACCAGAGCCCAGGACGTTTCTCCATCGAAGACTGGCTCCAATCGACCAGATGTCCAGGGGACGTGTGCAACCGTAACTTGTGTGAGCAGGGCCACCACGTCCACGTTCCCCCGACCTGTGCTGGAGAGCTGCGTGTTCGTGTGAACGTTGTGCACAACTTCCATTTGATTGCCATGGTGAGCTGTCTCGTCTGGAAATGTGCGCACTACGGCTCGGTCTTGGCAGGTGGGGGTCGCCTCAGGCTTCTCTCCCAGCAGTGCTCAGAGCTGCGCACCTCCTGAGTACATTCATCGACTCTCCGAAAGACTGCCGCCGAGGGCGGGCCGTGACTGGCCCATCTCCCCCGAAGGAGAGGGCACTGCTCCCTTGCCAGTGTTCGGGTCCAACCAACATGAAGGACTACAGGCGGCGGGAGGGTTGGCCCGGGATTGGGCGTGAGGTTTGGCCGCTCACTCTAATCTCACATGATTTCCGACTATGTATTTGACCAGTCGACCAGTTGAGAGGGCGTGGCGCAGTCAGGCCCTCGTCTTGGAGACACTTCCTAGGAGCAGGAGGATGAGCATGAGGAGGTGGAGAAGAAGGAAGAGTTATGCTCCGCCTCCTCCTCCTCCTCCTTCTCCTCCTCCTCCTCCTCCTCCTCCTCCTCCTCCCTCCTCCTTCTCCTCCTCCTCCTCCTCCTCCTCCTCCGCCTCTTCCCCCCTCCTCCTCCTGCTCTTTCTCCTCCTGCTCCTTCTCCTCCTGCTCCTCCTCCTCATCCTCCTCCTCCTACCTGCATCCGCCCATACCTCGTCGCCGTGGTCGCCCTCCCCCCCCGGGCCCCTGGGGGAACAAGAAGACCCCGATACCGCTACTTCCGGCACCTCTTCCGGGACGCATTGTGACCAGATTTTCTCTGAAAACCCAGCCGTGGCGACGAGGGCTCTCTGGGACGAGCAACGGCCCCTCCTCCCCAGCGCCCGAGCGCGGCGAAGAGTCGCCGGAGCGGGCCTCCCGCTCGATGTCGCCAGCGAGGATGGGGGGGACGCCAGTGCCCTGCGCGGGCCCTCCGTCACCCTCGGAAGAGGAGGAGGAGGAGGAGGAGGAGGAGGAGGAGGAGGAGGAGGAGCAAGAGGAGGGGGAGGAGGAGGAGGAGGAGGAGGAGGAGGGGAGGAAAGGGAGGAGGAAGAGGAGGAAGAGGAGGAAGAGGAGGACGATGAGGAGGAAGAGGAGGAGGAGGAGGAGGAGGAGGAGGAGGAGCAGGCGAAGGAGGAGAAAAGGGAGGATTCTAATATGTGTTGGATTCCTCCGCGGAGCAGTATCCGATAGGGGCAGGGGACCGTCCCACCGCCATCGGAACAGGGGGGAGGAGAAGGAGGAGGAGGAGGAGAAGAAGGATATTTGTTTGGATTCCTCCGCTGAGCAATGCTCGAGAGGGGGCGGGGGGGCGTCTCTCCGCTATCGGAAGAGGGAGGATGAGGATGAGGAGGAGGAGGTGGAGAAGTCGGAGGAACATGAGGAGGAGGGTCGAGGAAGAGCAAGGAGAGGATGGGGAGGAGGAGGAGGAGGAGGAGGAGGAGGACGAGGAGGAGGATGAGGAGGAGGAGGAGGAGGAGGAGGGGGGGGTGGATGATGAGGAGTTTGCTTAGATTCTTCCGCCGAACAGTGCTCAAGATGGGGCCGCGGGGGAAATTGGAATCTCCGCCATCGCCATCGGAAGATGGGGAAGGAGGAATGTAGGAGGAGGACGAGAGGGCAGAGGGGAAGGATGAGGAGATTCTCTCGGATTCGTCTGCCGAGGGGGCGTCACTCCACCCTGGGAAGGGGGAAGGGGAGGAGGAGGAGGAGGAGGAGGAGGAGGAGGAGGAGGAGGAGGAGGAGGGGAGGAGGGGGAGGAGGAGGAGGAAGAGGAAGAGAGGAGGAGGAGGAGGAGGAGGGGAGGAGGACGAGATGAGACGAGGAGGAGGTGGAGGAGGGGGCGGACGAGAAAGATAGGGGGGAGGAAGGAGGAGGAGGAGGAGGAGGAGGAGGAGGAGGAGGAGGAGGAGGAGGAGGAAGAGGAGGAGGAGGAGGAGGCGGAGGAGGAGGCGGAGGCGGAGGAGGAGGGCGAGGAGAGAGAAAGGGACGAGGATGAGGAGGAGGAGGAGCGGGAGGACAGGGAGGAGGTGGAGGGCCAGGAGGAGGAGGAGGAGGAGGAACGAGGAACCAGCGTCCGTGCCAATTTTGGCTCAAGATGGTCAATGAACATCTGAGTCAGAAAATAAGCCTACGACACTGCGTTTTGACTGCGCTCTCCCTGCACACGCTTGTCTCCAATGGCCGAGTGGCAGCAGGGCGCACCCCAGCAGTGGTGGCAACAGGGGCAATGGTGGAAACGTCGCACCGAAGGCCGCCGTGCGTGGAACCCCAACGCGGGCAAAAAGTGTCGCGGGTGCGGGCTGAAGAAGAGTTGGGCTCAAGTGGTGAACTCGTCCCAGGTCGAGGCCACTCCGCCCTGAAGTCAACAGCGACGCACATCGACGCTGTGGTGGGGACCACGTCGGCCAAACGGAGGAGGAGGAGAACCAGGAGACCCAGGAGGAGCAACCCGTCGTCGACGAGAGAAACCAGATCCACACACTCGAGAATTCACTCAGAGCGCTCCCTCCTGGACCAGAGTACCAGGGCACGCGCGACATGATCCAGGATCAGATCGCCGCGGCCAGGAGGAGCATCACCATGTCGAAGCCGCTCGGCAGCCAGCTGGTCTCGTGCCTTGCTGCTCTCGGGCGGGCGCAGGGGAGGCTGGCTACCTGCTAGGCTGCTCTCAGCGAGGCCACCAAGAGCTTCGAGCAGTCCAAGGCCGACACGGCCCAGCGCGAGAAGGAGCTGAAGGAGCTGGAGGCGAAGGCGCTGCAGGACCAGAAGCCGAACAGCCTGGAGGCCTCCACCCAGAGCCTCTCGCGCGTGCTCAACGGGATGAAACTGTCCCCTGTCATCCCGCACGCCACTTTGGTATCAACAGGGCTTAAGGGATCATGCGCCTCCTCACCGGTCTCCAGAACATCTCGAGAGAGGCTAAAGCAACATCTACTGCCGTTGGCGACTCCCGCGACTTGGAGGACACGGTCATGGGAGGCGAGCCCGACACCGATGCGCAGGCAGTGGCTCGCAGGCGCCTGCGCGGCAAGCAGGGGCCAGCGACTGAGCCTGGCGGTGTGGCATCGTCGGCTGCGTCGCCAGGCCCAGCTGCTGCGCATGTTTTCCCCGAGTCGGAGACGATGCGGGGACGAGCTGAACATCGCAGTCACGGCAGAGTCGGACGTCCGACCCACACGGGTGCTGCAGATTGCGAGTGGGAGTGTACGCGCGCTGCACCCGTTGTGGGACTCAGTTGTGGGTGTGCGACGACCTGGAGTTCCGAGCAGACGTCTGGGAGGCGCTGCATGCACGGATCGTGGTGGCGCCGAGCACCATGGAGGGTAGCAAGGACCGCATCCCGCTGCTCATCTTCTCCCACGCCCCCCACGCCTATGCCAAAGCTGAGAGCAGACAGCACTTCTGGGCCATACTTGGAGATTCGTTGACGACTCGGAGGAAGAAATTTCAATTTATTGTGTTGTGCAGGCGATTCACGCTGATGCGAGGGTTGGGTCGATTACCTCCAGCGCGATCGGCCAGCTCAACAAAGATCGAGATAATGCAGACGGAGCTCTAGAGCGACACTTGAAACACAGAATACGATGGCTGTTAACACGTTTCTTGGTGCAGAGTGGACGTGGGTGCAAGCCAGCGAAGATAGACTACGTATGCGTATTGCAGTATGAAGTATCCAGGTAGTGTCAACGCTCGTGCTCATGACGATACCGATCTTGCTTTCGATCAAGCTGTGGAACATCGGGTTGTGGTGGTGTCTTGCCCTGTACGAGAGCTGCCTCTGTGTCATGATGTATTGCCTGTTGTGGAGAAAGCGTCGCAAATTCATCAAGCCCAGTTTGATAGGCGCAGACTTGACGACCATGAATGCCAAACTACCTTCAGACCTCGGATGTGGGGCTGCAAGCTTGATGACGGCGATTATTATGAGATGCTCGAGAGGTTCAACACGTTCGTGAGAAAAACTGCAATGGAACATTCAATGCCAAACGGGATACCCCGACGAAGCCCTGGATGTCAGATCGAACGTGGACAATCTTGAAATGGAACGCTCAACTGCGCCGTCAAATTCCTGAACTTTTCCTACTTCCGTGTCGCCTTCAGATGCAGTTCGTCTTCAACGTGCCTCTGTCCCACAAGGGCGCTCCATATCCATGTGATGCAGAATGACGCGTTGGGTGGAAAGCTGTGGGAATAAATTCAGATCTGCATCGCAACTTGTCTGTGATAAGATGGTGTATTAGTTGTGCAGTGCACTCTTCGCACATCCTGAAGAACCTGATCAAACCCGTGTGTGACATCGATCGTGACATGCTGTTAGAATCACATGCAGCTGAGCTGGACCGCAAGGCCTTGAACGGAAGGTGCGGGCAGACGTTCAAGATGGTACGTATGCCGACGAAAGGAAGTGTCAAAGGGAATATTGATGTATGTATAGACTCCGGGGCTTTGACAGCGTCGGCAAGTGAGAGACATGCGGAGTGGTTTCAATATTACAATAAAGAATGCCAAGCTCAACCGATGCACATCTGTGATCTTCGTATTACACAGTCAAGTTCTTCTAGAACCACGAGTATGATCATGCTCCCCGAGGCTACCTACGAGGCGCTTATGAGGTTAGTCAAAAGCAACGGTGTCAGATGTGATGGGGGCGCTGCACTTGAATTCGATCGAGAACAACATCGTCGAGACTACGAGTTGGCCACACCAATGGACAGGTGGTAAGATGGCTTCCGTATCCAAGGGCAAAAGTGACAACAAAAAGCGCAACGGTTATCGGGAAAAACTTGTAGCTGGCCATCTGGGCAAATCGCTCGTCGGTTGCATGACACGCTCTATTCATCCCGTGTATAACGAGCAGATGCCAACGACGCAAATTTGAGCTGTACCCCGTCGTAGCACGGAATACGCAAGTCATATCGTGCAGAGTGGGATCACGTACGCTGAACAGAAGTCTGGTCGGTGTGCGTCTTATTCGCTGACCTTATGAAGGCCTTGGTGGCCTTGGTGACCTTATGTTCGTCTTGTTCGCTGACCTTGGTGAGAGAGCTGCTGTCCATATTCGCGTCCACAGTTGATCCAGAGAGGCAGTCGCACATATTTTATCGTGTGTCGTTGTGCCTCGGTAAGCACGTTGCCGAGAAAATGGTGGATCATCTTGGCGAAAGAGGGCCCCTCTTAGACCAGGGGCGTGAAGATCCCTGTGTGAGTGAGCTTTCGTGTTCGTTGCATGCACCCTCGTGTCTTCGTATAGGATCCCTCGATCGTGTTGTATGTCCTAAGTTGGAGGGGGGGGCGTCAGGGGTGTAAAGTAGGAAACGTGATCTTTAATCATACATACTCGATCGCCTTGCATGCGCATCAGAATCGCCTGCGTCAGGAAAAAGCTGTCCCTCGAAGTAGAGGTCCCGGCTGCTGAGTCTTGGGCAGGCCGTTAGGACGTGTATGAGAGCAGGTGTCGGAGTGACTGAGTATGGTGCATTTGTGGATGATGAGTGCATCATGCTTGTTTTTAACACTGCCATGAAGCTAAGTGGCAGCATTCTGCGGATGTTGATTGCCCCTGTCGAGATCTTTGCTTCCCTCAACCTCGAGATCCAGTGGTCGAAAAAGAACGCCGAGAACATGATAAGGTTCAAAGGACCTCGCATTGGCGAGATATTGCGGCCCCACGTGTTCGGAGGCAGCTTGTCATTCCCCGTGCCAGGCAGCGATTGTAGGTCGCAGATGGTTGATAAGTACGAGCATCTAAGTTCGAAGGTGTCCTTGAGTAGCGATTGCGTCGCAGATGCGCGTTATGAGGAGAAGTCAGCCTTGGTGGCGTATTCGCCGCTCGCGATGAAGATTTCTGGATCGCAGGTTTTTCACGACTGGGTGAATGTGCATCTGATGTCCTCCCGCATCTTCACTCGGCTGTTATTTAATGCAGGCATTGTTGTTCCGAGTAGACCGTATGTTGAGTCTCTGAATGGCGTGATGTCGTGAACGACGTTCGGAGAGGTCCGCCATGCGCGAGTTGAGCACCATGCTGTTGAGATGAGGGCTCTCCTGCAGGTGTCATCGCTAGAAAGTATGCGTCAGCGCTCCCGCTTGCTTGATCTCAACAGTGGCCCAGTCGTGCTGTAGTCGCTGCTGCACTTTCAGTATAACCGCATGCCGCTCCCGTGGGTGGAGTTGATCTGCTCAGCTATGACGCGACTGCACGAAGAAGAAATTCAAAATTAGAGGAGATGTCTTCCCGAGTCACGTGATGACCCGAGTGCCTTGGGCCAGCTTATTTCTGAGTGCTGCTTCTCGTGGACCACGCTGGTCCAAAAGCGTTGTTACACAGACTCCGTGGCCGACACGGCCCCTGCGAGCACCTCCGACTCCGCTCCCTCGCGTCCGTACGTGCGTCAGTTGTGTGTGTGTGTATGTGTGTGCGTGTGTGTTGGCGTGGGTGTCTCCTCCAAGCCACCTCCCAAGCCTTGCACCCCCATAGGGTGCGCAAACCTCATTTGAGGTGCTCAGCGAGAAGATATGTGGGCTCTGATGACCTGTGCTCCGTTTGTGGCGCGGAGTGTGGCTCGAGGTGGCGGGCGATTGTTCACTTGAACAAAAGTCCCCCTGGCGCCGACCCCCGTAAGTGCCGAGGTCTAGATTTGAGGCGTCCCCCCCCCCCCCTCCCACAAGACGAGGTGGAGCGGCTGGGCGCTCAGCGTGAGGAATGGAAGGTGGCCTTTACCAACATGGGCACAATCAGCCGCTCCCGAGAGGACCCGCTAAGCGACGGGGTGACTCGTGAGGCTGTATGGTTGTGTACAGTTTGAGCCGAGCGCGGTCGCCTGCGCAGGCACCAACGCGGGAGCCGACACCAGCACCGCAACCAGACCGCAGCGAACCGGTTAGCTGTCCAGCTAAGCGGTTCGCACAGGCGCTAGCACCAACGACTGCGCCTACGCCGCCACCGACGCCAGCGCCTACACCAGACGCCTACACCAGCACCGCCGCCAGGCCGCAGCGCACCGGTAGCTGCCCAGCTAACCGGTGCGCAAGCTCTTTACCTGCAACGCCGACGCCTACACCGATGCCAGCACCGGCACCGGCACCAACAGCAGCGCCTACACCAGCGCCGACGCCAGCACGGACGTCAGCACACACGCCGTCGCCAGCGTCGGCACCAGCGCCAGCGCTTACAGGATCACCGACGTCATCACCGACGCCAGCACCAGCGCCGACGCCTACACCAGCACCGATGCCAGCACCGATGCCAGCACCGACGCCAGCAGGAACGCCTGCGATGGCGCCAGCACCAACGCCAGCGCCGACGCCAGCACCGACGCCAGCACGAACTTCCGCGCCTGCGCCGGCACGAACGCGAGCGCCTCCACCAGTACCGCTATCATCACCGGCGCCAGCACTCCTTCAGCACCGGCGCCAGCACTGACGCCGGCACGAACGTGAGCGCCTGCGCTGGCACCCCCGCCAGTGCGTTCACCAACACCGACGTCATCACCGACGCCAGCACCTACGCCGTCGCCTACACCAGCACCGCCGCCAGCACGCCAACACAGACACTGGCGCGTACGCTGGCGCCGACGCCAACATCGATGCCGTCGCCTGCGCTGGCAACAACGCCTGCGCCTACGCCAACACCAGCGCCAGCGCCTACGTCAGCTCCAGCATCATCGGCGGCTTCAGCACGGACGTGAGTAACGACGCCAGAACCGAGCCCAGCACCGTCGCCCGTCATCGCCAGCACCAACTCTTGCTCCTCCGCTGGCAACAGCGGCAGCGCCTACGTTCGCTCTGACCTCCTCACCTTCAGCAGCATGGACGCCGACACCGAGGCCAGCACCGAGGTCAGCATCCACGCCAGCGCCTGTGCTGCCCAACGTCTGCGCCCAGGCCGGCACCAGCGCCGGCGCCTACGCCTGCTCCGCGGTCATCGCTCACAGCAGCGCGGACGTTTTCCCCGACGCCAGCACCGAGGCCAGCACCGGCGCCAGCGCCTGCGCTGACACCACCATTTGCGCCTCTCTGCCAGCATCATGCCAGTGCATACGTCAGCTCTGATGCCAGCAACGACACTTCGTGGCGGCACCATGCGAAGCAGCTCCCGCGTACTGTGCAGCACCACAGAGGCCACCACGACCTGGGCCAATAGCGCCACGCGCAGCCGCACCTGCGCACCTGGCAGCACCACTCGCAGGAGCGCCAGCGCATCCAGCAGCGCCAAGGGTCTACCACGCCGTCGGCAGCCGCGACCGCCCCCTGAGTGGGTGACCCGCCCTCTGATGGCCGCAGGCAGGCTTGCCAGGGGGCTGGGCGCGCCTGGCAGCCCAGCGGTGACGGAGGACGCGCAGCCCAGCCCCAGCAGCCTGGAGTTTGCAGCAACCCTCCTCTGGCATCCAGGAGTGGGCCGCGCCGGGCGGCGAGCTGCGTGACAGGCTCGGGCGCCGCACTGTGGGCGGTCGGCGATGAGGTTCCGCCCAGCAGGGCCGGAGTTGCGCCGCGTCGCGTTGATCTCTCTCTCTCTCTCTCTCTTCTCTCTCTCTCTCTCTCTCCGCAGCCTGCAGGGGTAGGCCGGACCCCTGAGTCCCAGCTGCATCCTTCTTGTTTCACTTTCTGGTTCCGGATTGGGGTAGTTTGATCGCCACTTCCCGCCGCGCAGGTTGGGACGCTCGAGGGAAAAAGGTTGTGTACAGTTTGAGCATCCTGAGACCCCTCTGGGAACCTGGGAAGTAGTAAAGGAACAAGCGTGCCGAATGGAAACACGCCTCCTTTGCCCTCCTACGTAGCCCTGGTGACTCCGGGCGCAGCGCCCAAAGTGCTCGGGGAAAGCATCTGGGACTGCAGACTGCTTCACCCGCGTCATCATTCGCTCCTCCTTCTCCTCTTCCTGCTCCTCCTTTTCCTGTCCCGTCCTTCCTTCATTTTCCTTCCTCCTCATCCTCTTTCTTACACCCACCCGTCCTCTTCCTCCTTCTCCTCCTCTTTCTCCTCCTTCTCCTCCTCCTCCTGCTCCTCCTGCTCCAACTCCGTCTCCTCCCCGTCATCATCATCCTCATCAGTATCCTCCTCATCATCATCATCATCATCATCATCATCATCATCAGCATCATCATCATCATCATCAGCATCATCATCATCCTTAGCATCATCATCATCAACAACAACAACACCAACATCATCATCAACATCATCATCACCATCAGCATCCTCCTTCTCCTCATCATCATCACCATCATCCGTCTTGCTCCCCTTACTCCTCCTACTCCCCCTCCTCATCGCCCTCCTCGTTCCTTTCGTCCTTGTTTCCGTCCACCCCTTCCTCCTTCCCTCCTCCCCTTTCCGAACTTCCTCTTCGCTCCCCCCCCCCGCACCAAACGCTTGGAGAACTCTGAGACGCACAACGCCACCATCTGCAACGACGTGGTGATGTGCTGGAACCCCTCGCCGCGGCCGCCAGCCGGGAGCGCCAGCCGGGGGCGACGCCATCGCCGTCGCCGTCGCCGTCATCGCCGACGTGGTCCTTGTCGGGGTCGCCACGCGGGAATACACGCATCCGACGATCTTAGCCGCCCCATACGCAACACGCAACCCGTAGCGTGTTGACACGGAGCTCAACAAGTACGTAGACTGAAAACGTAGGTCTGGCGAGATGCGCTCGCCGAAACGTCAGCCAATCTGCTGAGCCAACACGCAACGTATGGGCACGGACGGCTCGAGCACGGTACGTGCGGCGTATCAAGATGGGCGCATCGAGGCAGCTAAGCCGACGATATAGTTGTGCGCAATTCGCGGCCCCACAGTTCCCGACCGACCTCTTCCCCAGGGGTAGTTTTTCGTCCCCGCTCGCTTTTGATGGTCCCAGTGGCATGACGAGACCCGAGAGTCCAAATGTAAGAAAAAAATCAAAAACGCCGGTTGAAAAAAACAGATCGTAGCTCTGGGGCAGCAAGCTTCCACGCATTTTGCGAGAAAGTTCCACCGAAGTGTACGGGATATCGCGGGAGGCTTCTCGAAGGTCCTCTATGGTCCGAAGAAGTCTTCAGAAATTCGCGGAGGTTTTGAAGGGTCATCGGTGGCCTTCGGGGTGCTCGGATCGCCCCAGAAGTCCAGGAAAGTCATCCAAATCATGGGATGTTTGGGGGGATGTCCGGACGGGTGGATGGGCTGAGCTTTCATCGCTCGTCCACCGTCAAGGTATCCAGAACCTTTTGCAGGGGCAGGCCGGGGACGAAGAGACTGGGAGGGAGGAGGGAGGGGGAGCAGGACGAAAAAGGCGAGTGGGAGGATGCGGAGGAGGGACGAAGTCGAGGAGGGGGGGGAGTCTGTCCGCCCTGGCCCCGCCAACTGTAGACGCCGCGCGGGTGAACCGCACCCTGCGGGAGGAGCCCCGATACACACAGCACTGGAAGCATGCCCCCGCCCCCTGGCGCGGCCAGTGAAAGACCACGGCTGGAAGGCAAGGCGGGCCTGCGGGGATTCGGAGGCGACGCGCCCCGTCTGCGCGCCCGAGCAGGAGGCGCCGGCTGCAAGCGCGCGCCTGCGCGCGCGCCTCGGCGCCTCGGCGCCTCCGTGAGCGGAAGCGCCGGGGGGCACCCCTCTCAGCGGCCCAGTGCTGCGGCTGCGGGGCAGCTGCCAGGAGCTCGCGCAGCGCACCTGGGAATACACGTCGGTCGGAAGAGGTAGGTAGAAACAGGACGTGGGAAGGCGGATGTAGTAGCTTGGGTCCAGGTCATCCCAGAGAACAGCAAAACACAGAAAAGGCATGCCGATTCTTGAAGTAGAACGGCGCGTGAAGTAGATTGGAGTGTGGGAATCCAAAAAAAGACCTGGTTTCAACGACCGGCGTGTATAGGGAGGCGAGCACCCGCGCGCTAGCGGCGGGCATCGATGCGCGCCCGGAGGTGTCTTTGAAGGGGCCCCAAGCTTGGGCAGACGGTCGAAGGCCAGATGGAGGTCGTTCCGGGCAGGCTGTGCTCCGGGGCGTGCCACAACGGGGTCCTGCCGCTTCCTGGATGCCACGGTGTATGTGAGCAAGACTGGCTGCCCACTGTTGCAGCGTCGGGATGTGCCCTCCATCGTCGTCTGAAGCCTCGCTGGGATCAGCGGGCGTGCCGCGATCGTTGTCGGGGTCTTGGAGGGGGTCGTCGCTGTCTGACTGGCGCCCATCTGCACGGATGACGCAGAGGCGTGGGCCCATGAGGTCGGCGGGCCAGGTTCACCCGTAGCGGCCCCCCCGGGAGGCGAGGGCAGCTACGCGATCGAGGTCAACCGGTTGACTGGCAGCCGCGGGGCGTTGCGTGAAAGTGCACCACCTTCAGGTGATGGGCGCTGGAATCAGACGGCGGATGCCTACATCCTGACGGGCGGTGCTGAAACTGTGAGATCCCGTGCCCCAGTGGGCAGGGGTAACCGCTGTGCTGCTCGCAGACGTGCTGCTAAGAGACGCGGTGTTCGGTGCGCGCCGCGCACTGCTCGCGTCTCTCACAGGGATGCGAGCGCCGTCGCGTTGAACGGCGCCGAGAAGTTTCTTCTCGTGCTCGAGCTGCTGCACCCCCCCCCCCCTCGCGCCGCTTAGTGTCGAGGCGATTGTGCTGGCCGCGTTGCCCAAAAACGTGGTGCTCGCAGCACGTTCCGTCTATCTTACTCATGCGAGGCAGCTGGCATTAGGCCCCGTCGTGCACCTCGACGCCATGGCGCTCGACTCCATCGCGCTGGTCAGCGTCGCCGCGCGGAACCCCAGCGCTGCGCTCATAGATGTGGCGCTCGTTGCACTACTCTTCTCGCTCGTGGCTGGCAAGCGTGAGGCTGCTAGTCTTGGCCCCGTCGCACTGCTCGACGTCGCGGCGCTCGGTTCGCCGATGCTGCGATCTGCTTCGACATGCTGGTCGCGCGCGCGCGCGGCTGACGGATATGACTTTCGATGCCGGGGCTGGATCCCGTCTTGGCGCGCGACGTCGCGGTGCGCGGTCCTGTCGCACAGTAGAGCTGACGCCCGTTGCAATGCTCGTCTCGCTCGTAAATGTAAGGCCGTTGTTGCTGGGCCCCGTCGCTCTGCTCAACGTCGCGGCGCTCGGCTCCGTCGCGTTGCTCGGCGCCGAGGTGCCGGTCGCGCACGTGCCACTGAAAGACGCGGTTCCCGATGCACTGCTCGTCTCGCTCACAAGCGCGAGGCCGCCGGGAGCTGGGCCTCGTCGCGCTGCGCAACGTCGCAGTGATGGATGCCGCCTTGCTGCGCGGCGTCGCGGAGCTGGTCGTGGGCGCGCTGCTCGGGGGTTGTGGTGCTCGTAGCACTGCTTGTTCCGCTCGTGGATTCGAGCCTGCTGGTGCTGGGTTTCTTCTTGCTGCGCGCCGCCGCGATGCCTGATTCTGGCGCGCTGCTCATCGTCGGGGTGCTGGTCCCTGACCTGCTGCTCGAAGACGCGGCGTTCGTTGCGCTGCTCGCCTCGCTCGTTAACGTGCCAGTTCCTGTCGCGCTGCTCGACGTTCGCCCTGCTAGGGTTCGAGGTGCTGGGCGCAGACGCGCTGCTGACAGACGCGCCGTTCGATGCCCTGCTCGCTCGCGGGTGCGAGGTTGCTTTGGGCTGGGCCCCGTCGCGCTGCTCAGTCGCAGCGCTCGATATCTTTGTGCTGCGCGGTTTTCGGGAGCTGGCCCCGGAAGCGCCGCTCATCGCCCTCGTGGATGTTACGCCGCTGGTCTGCGCGCCGTCCTGCTGTGCAAAGTCAGGATGATCGAGCTCTTCGCGCTGCTCAGCGTCGAAGTGCGAGCCCTGACACGCTGGTCGCAGACGTGGCGCTCGCTGCAATGCTCGTCTCGCTCGGGAATGCGATGCCGTTAGCGATGGGCCCCGTCGGACTGCTCAACGTCGCGGCACTCGGCTCCGTCGCGCAACTCAGCGTCGCGGCGCCCGTCGCGGACGCGCTGCTATGATGCGTGGTGTTCGGCGCACTGCTCGTTTCACTCGTGGGCGCGCTGGGCTGCCGGTGCCGGGCCCCGTCGCGCCGTCGCACTCGGCTTCGCCGCGCCGCAGAGCGTCGCGGCGCTGGCCCCAGACGCGCCGCTCAGAGACGCGATGGTCGTTGCGCTTGTCGCCTCGCTCGTAGACGCGAAACTGCCGGCGCTGGGCCCTGCCATAATGCGCCGCGCTGAGACACTCGATCCCGTCGCGAGATTTCGCGTCGAGGCGCAGGTCGCTGACGTTCTGCTCGCGGCCGCGGCTGGCAATTTGAAATGCCGACGCCGAAGACCGACGCGCTGCCCGCGCCGCCCGGCGACCGGCGCGATGCTGACAGATTCGGCGCTCGGCGCGCACCTCTTCTCACTCTTCGGCGCGAGGCTGCTGACGCGGGCCCCCGTCGCGCTACTCAACGTCGTAGCGCTCGGTTTCGTCGCGCTGCGCGGCTTCGCGGCTCTGGCCCCAGATGCGCTGCTCAGAGACGCGACGGGCGTTGCACTGCTCGCCTCACGTTGATTTGGGGCTGCTGGCGCGCGGGCCCGCCTCGGCGCGCGCCGTCGCGATGCTTGGCCACGCCGCGCTGCCCGGTAGAAAGATGCTTGTCCCTGACATGCCGATGAAAGACGCGGGGCTCGCGGCGCTGCCCATCTCCTTCGTGCGCGCGAAGCAAGTGGCGCCAAATCCGAACGCGCTGCTCAGCGCAGCGGTGCTCGAACCCGTCGCGCAGAAACGTGCAGCTGAAAGACGCGGCGTTTCGCGAAATGCTCGTCTCGCTCGTCGGCGCGGGGCTGCTGAGGCCGCGCCCCGTCGCCCCGCACATCGCGGCGGTGCCTGGCTCCGCCTCGCTGCGCGGCGTGGCGGCGCGGACTCTGGACGCGCTGCCCAATGGCGCGGCGCTCGTTGCATTGCTGGTGCCCCTCATAACTTTGAAGCGGCTGGCGATGGATCCTGCCGCATTGCTCAACGTAGTGGCGCTCAAACATGTCGCGCCGCGCGTTGTCGAGGCGCCGGTGCCGGGCGCGCTGATCAAATGGCGCGGCGCTCTGCGCGCTGCTTGCCCCGCTGGAAAATGCTCGCCTCACTGGGAAAGGTCGACCCCATCGCGCTGCTCCACGTCGAGGAGCCTGTCGTGCACGCGCTGCGCAAAAGACGTCGTGCTCTCCCAGGCGGTCTGACGAAGGTCACTCCAGGCGCTCAGTGCACTTTCGAATATGGCGGATTCTCGTTTGTTCTGTTACCAGCCTCTTGACCCCCATCTCCCCCCGGAACCGGGGGCGACCCCAGCAAGGCCATCCTGACCACAAACTGAAGATGTTCTTTACGGCGCTGGTTCTCAAAAAGCAACCTCTCGCCTGAGACATCCTAGTAAAAATAAGATGTCGGAGATCGGGCGTCGGACATCCAACGCGGCGTGGAGGAGCGCTTCGCGTGAGACATCCTGCCCTGCGCAGCATCCAGACATATTATGTCTTGGATGCTGCGCAGGG